CTATTAAAATTTTAACATTAATACAATTATATTTCGTGTTTTATAATAGTTTTTGAAAACAAAGTTTAGGATCCCTCCTTCCCCCTTATCACACAATGTCACACTTCGTCAAACCCCTCCCCCATACCCCTTAACGTGTGACGTAATTTACGGACGGCCCTAAGTTATCGGTGACCCGCTTCGCGTAAAACATGTTTATCTCCGTCATACATATTTAAAAAGTCTCATGTTTGTTTAACGATTAACGTATTTTTGCTCACCAAGTGACGCTAGTGAGAACTTTTCGTTCATCGTCATCATTCCCTACTCTGAATGCTATTTTAACAGCTACGATTGTGGTTGTATGGTATTGACATTGAATAATTATTGAGATTTTATTGGATTAAAATTGTATTGACATTGAGATTGATTTCTAGAGTGTGCAAAAACACCTTAGCCCCCATTGAGTAAAGACGATAACCGAAAACTCGGCTATCACACATCACTGAACATGAGCATAACGATGGTTCTACTCTGGGTCAAAAATTACCAATCAACCGAAAACTAACTGACATTAAGCTCTTTATCGATATTAAAACCGTCACAAAAGTATGTTAAAAACCAAAACTTTGGGAACCTCTAGAGAAATTTAAGTTTATCGAGAAATCAGAATAAACAAAGTTTTGGGGGTATATTACCCCTATATTCATAGAATAACATAGGGATATTTTCCCATAAGGTCAAAAAATCATTTAGAGACACGGTAAAATCAGTTTACGGGCAAAGTGCAATCAAGTAGGGAGTCAAAGTTCAATAGTAATTTGATAACATGTTAACAATTTCCAAAAACTCCAAAGTCAAAAATTACTATTGATCTTTGAGTATATTAAATTGCATATTGAAATTAGGTGAATGAATATAGTGTGGCATTAAAATCTATCAAATATTACTATTTTTTTTAAAATGATAGTAATATAAAATAGTGTTAAACAATGTCAGTATATTATGTAAAATTTGAGAAAACCTTTTGGAGTTTAAAATACTCATTCACTCAATTACGAAATGCTAAAGGCAAAAAAGCCAACATATGGATATGTCTCAAATATATGTATATCATTAAAATTAACATTTAAAAACATTACGAAAACCATTTAAAATAACCAGAGCTTACTTAAATATGATCAAACTAAATTAAACCTTAAATATGAACGTTGAAAGTTAAAATTTGGAGCAAGAGAAATAAATTTATAAGAAAACAAAGGACAAAACGATTCTGTTGAATTTGGACACAATTTTTGCTGAATGCGGTGTAAGCTAAAGTATGTAGGGATCATAGTAGGTGGCGCTGTGTAGTTTCTTTCTATCGTGTGTGGCACTATGTAGTTTTTAGCATGGGACAAAGAAGTTTGTATAAAAACTATCGTGAGACATACTACATTAATTAAAAATCGCGGGTTACTGACGTGAATATACTGAGAAAGCTCTACTAGACTACTCAGTAGGGCTGCGCGACATCGCCGCGACCGCGCACGCTGCTCATGAGGAAGAACCCCTCTGTGGTTCGAAACTAGTAGAGCTTTTCTCAGTATATTCACGTGAGTAACCCGCGTTTTTAGAAAGATGCCCATTTTGTCTCATTTTTGAATATTTTTATTGTGGACCAAACGAAACTATGGGTAGAAGATAGCATAGATTTTATACATGTAAAGAAAATAGACCTTAATTTGATTCTTATATAGATAATAAACTTCAACGTTCATAATTAAGGCGTAAGCAGACTTACCTGCAAACACGAAGCGTAGAGTGGAACTTGTATAAAACTAATGGGATTCGAACCCAAACGAAGTCATGTTTTACTTCGAAGCTCGTTGCACTGCGTTGCTGTGCTGTATTTCAATTATATGCCTTGACATTTACGTCCATTAATTTTCAAAGTCAGGAATCGAACCAGTGAGGCGCATTGTATCCTAGTTAGATAGCATCATCTCTAAATGACAATAACTTATTTTTTCACAAACGACAACATCTACAATTTCTTCTTACAATTTCAATACAAAGGACTAAAAGTATCGGATAAATATGTATTGTATTCCTTATCATTTGTAGACTCCTAGAAGATCTTGGTTTTATAGCGGACTATTACAGCTACAGAAAGGGGATTAAACTGTCAAACACCAAGCGGTCACCGGTGACCGCAACCTATTGTTCTTTAATTGTGTCTATAAATACGGTACTCGACGAGTTAATTATCGCATATTCTGATACTCTTTATTGCACAGGGCTATTTTGGACATTGTCCTTTAGACTAGAATAAAAAAATATAGCATTAAACATCGTTTTTCATAACCGTTATTTACTCTTAGTCAAAACGCAATCGGCTTCTACACCTAGTCTAAAAATGAAAGTAAACGAAACCTATAATCAAACATTCGTTATTAAAAAATAATTCGACGTCTTTATTATCAAAACATTTTCTTGACCTGCACCTAAACCCCTGCAAGGAAACACAAATAAACGACACACAAAAAGCAATTCTTATAAACTAAACATAATTTTAAATACTAGATGCTCTGTAACGTCCGTTTCGCAACATAGATGACAGTTCAAGCAATATGGCGTCTTGGTGATACGCGTAAAATACGATAGATGGCGTTGTAACCAATTTTTTTTTTTTTGACGAAGAAAGTTTGAGAACCGCTATCATTAGATAAAGTGCAACAAATCGTAGTATTTTATTAAAAAGTTATGAGTTTCACGGTTTCCAATGCAAACGAGACATCTAAAAGAAGTCAAAGAGGCTATTTATCTATTTTATACTCCCATAATTAAAGTCAAAGTCAAAATCATTTATTTCAATTAGACCAGAAAGGCACCTTTGAACGTCAACAAAAATTTAAAAGTGAACCTATTTGCTCATTCCAAGGTGTAGGTTCCTATGGAGAAGAGCGAGCAAGAAACCCCATAGGTTACTCTTTTTCAAACAGGTTCACAATACAATTCTTTAGTTACATAGTTTCGTTGGTTCGATTGTGCGAGAACAATGTAATACCAAAATTCTGTCAAAGGAATCGAATCTATGTAAGTATTCTAATAACTTTAACCTTACGCAGACAACCATCAAATATGGACCCAATTTGAAGTGTACGCTTGTTTGACATACAATAAACATAACATACTCCATATTGTTTAAACCCATCATCTATTTAAATGCAAAACGAACTCATTTCTGAGACATATCCATATGTTACTTATACTTAAAGCATGCGATTATTAGATAAGTTGTATTCACAAGATTTGTACTGGAATTTCAATTAATGGCAATTAAGCAGACGGATCACCTGATGGTAAGCTATCAGCACCGCCCACGGATACCTATGGAACACTAGCGGAGTTACCAGTGCGTTGCTGAGTTAGGTTAGGTACTTGGACTTTTATTGGATACCGTGTCGGACAATGACGACCGTCACTAGAGCAGGTTTGAGTAGTTTCCTTATTCAAAAATAAATTATTTCTACTGTTCAATACAATAAAATATTAAAAAGAATTCACACTTCATTTCTTCAAACTTCATTTTAGCATTTTTCCAGATTTTTTTTTTGAAATAAGTATGCTGTTTGGCGGTAAAAGAACGTGACGTCACAATACACAATCTGTATTGTGACGTCACGTTCTTTCATTCTCGTACAAAATTCATAGAAAACTGTCGTTTTTGACAGTTCGAAAAAAGTATTGAAGAAAAGTAATAATAAAATGTAAGGATAAATAATATGTTATACTACTTGTAAGCATTTTTGTAATTAGTTTTATTAAATGTAAGATTTTAACTTTATTGTATTGTAAAATTTTACTTTGCATGCCGAAAACAGTAGGCGATGTATGGGACTATTTTTTTATAATTATTATTACCTGTAATTACCACACTTCGTGCAAATAAATGTTCTTATTCTTATTGAACTTGACTAGTTAGAAAGTACCCGATTAGCCTATAAACTTTTTGTCGGCAGTTAAAAACTTAGAATTACAATGATACTGCAAATCCGAAGGGAACAAAATTATTCCTCTTATTAAAGATTTTATTCCAGTACAATTCCTATCAATTTGTAAGTTGGTAAGCAGAGTTGCTAATGACAATTTCATTGTTTTTATAATAACAAAATATTAAAGTAGGCTGCGTGACGTCACCGCGTCCGCGCACGCTGCTAATGAAGAAGGATACCCTCTCTGTGACTCGAAACTAGTAGAACTTTTCTTAGTATATTTATTTATCTACGTGAATAAACCGTTATTTTTAGTAAATTTTTTTTTCTATATATTTTATGGGCCGACGTTCGACCACTATCTCGCGTGGTGGTAAGCGATGACGCGATCTACAATGGAGCACGTCGTCGCATAAGCAACCTATTCACTCGGGCCTTGAAGACACCCTTCAGGAAATACAGACTCTGGCAAACAATTCCACTCCTTAGCAGTACGCACAAGGAAGCTTGATGCAAAGCGTTTCGTGCGTGTGGGTTGGACATCTACTATGGATCGATTACGCTTCGCCGATTGTCTTGTGGACGACAATTCTGATTGTGTGTCAATAGTGATTGTTCTTCTTGTGTGGTAAGATAATATGATTGTTATTAAGTTTTGGGATATCTTCGGAAATGTCATAGGGATCTTGAATAGAAATCCCAGAACACGTGATGATCCCTTCATTTTATTTTATAGTATTCTTTAAAATATAGATCAGTTTTGTGGATTGACACCTTTTCTACGTATTTCCTTAGCACCCGTGGCAAAAAACACTGTCTCGACTAGTTTCAAGCTACGATAAGGACCCATAATGATGAGCAACATAATTATAACGCGACAACCGACGCAGCAAGTTGGCCGGCTAGAGCATAATTTTAAAAGAAATAAGTTTGTAATTCGTAAATCTTTGAGAAACACTGCCAAGGTTAGTATTACTAAAATTTTACAATCACCATAAGCAACTCAACTAACCAACGCATAAATACTCAAAATCCGATGCTTACCTTTTTTCTTCTTCTCAGTTTTAACTGGTGCCTTGCTAGAGGTCGCTTTGACATCCTTCTTGATAGTTTTAGCCTTTTTGGCGGGCACTGTTTTAGTTTTCGATGACGACTTCCTCTTTTCCGTCGCTTTAGTGTTATCGAGGAGGTCCAGGAGGTCTACTGACTCCTTTTTAGGTATCCTGCTTGCTAGTCTCGTTAGGGGTTGATCGTCAACTGAAATTGGAAACGGCGCAGGTTAGATTTTAATTTGTCTTTTGATAGACTAGTTTTCAAAGAATTTGTTAAGTGAAGAAGTGTGCAGGACTGGTTTGTTGGTCATAATGAGTTTCGAGTTCGGTCGCGAAGGTGGCGTTGTAATAAAAATTAAGGGTTTTGAAAAATTTCTCAGTACATATATAGCAATAATCTTACCGCCTATAACATGAGACTCATAACATAAAAGTAGGTGCTTCTAATGCCATTGGAGATTAAAAGTGACATTATTGCATAATTTGTAAAAGTAAATGCCCAACACATTATCATAAGAAGCATGTATGTAGAATAAGGTACAGGAATGTAATAGGAGCTAGACTTATTTTTGATTGACTTCAAGTTTTAAAGACAAGTTTTAAACAAAATTATTCTTAACTCGTACACAATCACCGAATATAAATCCCCAAAATTAGTTTATTTTTAAAGTAAACGTTGCCCCACACTAAGTTAAGTTCGACGGTTCATTAATTTTGCCGTCCCCACTCGACACTGGCAGTATAGTCGACAACATCGTTTTGGAGAGTCGGTTGCCAAAGAAGAGGAAAAAAAAAATAAAAAAAAACTTACGATCGTCATCATCGTCTTCATCGAATCCGCATCGTTCGTCGAAGTCATCATCATCATCGCTCACCGGCTTCTCTTGTTTCACGCGTTCCAGTTTCACGTCTGGATCTATTTCTGTTGGCTCCACTGTCACTGGGGAATAGAAAATGTTATTTTATGTAAAATCTTATCTTATATCTTATACTATTATACAGGGTTACAGGTTAAGTCTTATACAGTTGGTTTGGGGTGGGGTGTTTCATGGTCAAATCAGCTAGGAATGATGAAAACTAAAACCCCTTAAAGGATCTAGGTCGACTTAACCTGTAACCCTGTATAAAGCGGAAGAGTTTGTTTTTTTGTTTGTTTGTTTGAACGCGCTAATCTCCGTAACTACTAGTCTCATTTGAATAATTCTTTTTGTGTTTGTTTGTGTTTTAGTAATGAGTAGAGCTTGTGAAACCGCGCGGAAGTACTTAACTAACAGACCCGGCGAACTTCGTACCGTCTAAAATATTTTTCTAACCTGTTAAACCTTCCCTGGACTAACACGAACAATTCAAGACCAAAATTAGTCAAATCGGTTCAGTCGTGCTCGCGTTTTAGCATCATCAACAGCCCATAAATGCCCACTGCTGAGCAAAGGCCTCTTCTCACACGGACAAGGTTTGAACACTAATCACCACGCTTCCTCAATGCGGGTTGGTGATTACAAACTTATAATTAGAAATTATAAGCCCAGGTTTCCTCACGATGTTTTCCTTTACCGTTTGTCAGTGGTGTCTAGATAATCTTAGAAAGTACATATAACTCGGGAAAAGTCACATGACGTGATGTTTAAAAATTAATATTTTAGGAAATCTTTTTCTGACATTTCAAAAGTGTCTGTATAAGGTATAACAGAGATAAATGCTTTGATTTTATTAGGATTTCATTCGTACCTTCAACCTCGCCGACCATCGAAGAGCTGCCTGGGTCTAAATGCCGTAGAAACGTCCGCTCACACTCCTGGACCTGCCGCTTGAAGTCCGAGGCGTCCCGTAACCGAGATATACATAGTTCACATATCAAGCGGCTGTTGCTGTTTGGACCGCCGGAGTTTGAATAGGCAATCTGTTAAAAAGAAAATTTTATTGAATTTTATTGTGGATTTTAAAGAACAGTGAGCCAAGTTCCCTAAGAAAAGGAGGATCCTCCGACCAGGGGGCTTACTCTTGAATCCATTTTTTATTTTTCCCCCCACTCTTATTTTCATTTCTTCTTTATATTTGTTGGATGTGATGATATTTTTTACCTAAATTGACATTGATTAAATTGACAATATAATAAAATGAATGATTGATAATGCGGTGTTATAATGTAATAAATTAAATTAATTAAGAACATATATATTGAATAATAATAAACTGTAAATGTATGGACCCAATATGTCTGAAATAAATTTATTTTATTTTATTTTTATTTTTTATTTATTATTACAAATATACAATATCACATACAAATGACACCCAGAACCGAAACAACGATTTGTGGATCACACTAAGAGTTGCTCCGTACGGGAGCCACCCACTACACGTTGCGCGGCAGCCGGTTGCCCAGCCACCGCGCCAACCATGAATTCATCCAATCCGAAAATTCTGATCGATCGACATCGATATTGTGAAATTTTGCATTCCTGCCTGAACTGCACCACTAGCGCCAATTGCATCCGTATTACGTGGACATTGAATGAACTAAATGGTATTGAGTTTAGCTTTATATTCATTACGTCCTCTGAATGCTATTTTAACAGCTACGATAGGGGTTGTATATTTGTATTGTAATGCTACTCATGAATATGAGCCTCTAGCATGGCTTGAAACTAGTCGAGTTCCTCGTCAAATTACTACGTGAGTAAGCCGAAAACATAATAATTTATTATGGGGTTGTATAATTTTGATATTGAATAATTATTGGTATTTTATAGGATTGAAATTGAATTGCATGCCTCTTTGGCCGAATGGTCACAAGTTTGCCGAGCAAGGAAGTCTCAGTTTTGATTACCGGGTCGGGCATAATATTACTGAGTTTTTTAAAAGAAAACTCAGTAGTAGCATGGTTTCTAAAATGTTGCCTGGTATATGGCAATAGGGTCACCCCCTATTACATGGGACTCATAACATAAATATATTTCTGTTGACTGGTTCGTTTCCCAGGCCAGGCTAAGTATTGCTATTTTTTTTTTAATTCTCAGTAGTAGCGCAGGGTTTGGAATTGTGCCCGTAAAAAGTGAGTATTACATAGTATAGTGGCATTAAGTGCCATAATGTGCACCTCTGCGAACCTCTTCAGAGATAAAGGATGTGATGTTTATACATTCCGTTGGCCTGGGTCAGACAAATATTTTTGAGTTTTTTAACCAGTTTCTGGAATGGTAATAATTTTTGCTTCTCAGTAGTAGGTAGTAGGAGCTTCTTATTGCATGGGACTTGTAATGTAACTGGTGAACATTGAATATATCACTACATAATATAAAACAAAATCGCTATCCATTGTATGTCTGTCCCTATGTACGCTTAGATATTTGAAACTACACAATGGATTTCAATGCGGTTTATTTAAAAGATAGAAGGATTCTTAAGGAAGGTTTATATAAAACTGTCAAACGTGAAGCGGTCACCGGTGACCGCAACCTATTGTTCTTTAATTGTGTCTATAATGACGGTACTCGACGAGTTAATATATGTATAATACATCCATACTGCACCCATGCGAAGCCGGGGTGGGTTGGTAGTTTCAATATAAAATGTTGCTACCATCCGTGCATCACTATGAGGATGCCCACTAAAAATCAGTGCTGGGTGACTCGTGTGCCTAGCTTACACTGGTGGGTAACCTATTTAGCATAGGCATGTTGTTAGCATTTGTTTTCTAATTATTCTATTTCTTTTTAAGGATTCCCCCCTTCCCCCTTTCCCCATTTTCTTCTGTGTCGTGGGTGCGTTTACAAACATACAATATCACATACACATGACACCCAGACCCGGAACAACAATCTGTGGATCACATAAAGAGTTGTTATGTGCAGGAATCGAACCCGCGACACGTTGTGCGGTAGCCAGTTGCCCAACCACCGCGCCAACCGTGCAGTCAATTTTTTTTCTTTACTCATTGTTCATCTTTCTGTCATAGTCACACTATCTGTTATTAATTATTTTTATATTTTATTTACGCATATATGGTTTTTCTTACTTCTTTATCACTACAAAGAAACAAAGTCGCTATCCGCCGTCTGTCTGTCCTTGTATGCTTAGATCTTTAAAACTACGCAATGGATTTTGATGCAGTTTTTTTAATAAATAGAGTGAAGGTTTATATGTGTAATACATGTATATTGCACCCGTGTGAAGCCGGGGCGGGGTGCTAGTTTCTAATATAACATCCAATATGATGTTATATTTCATAAATTTGGAGGGTTCATCAAAAGCCCGCTTGGTGTAATACCTACGAAACATATAAATAAGCAATTCCATCAATGTATAGTGGCATTATATACTGACTGTCTTCTATTGCTATCTCTGTAGACTATGCAGTGCTTATTTATGTGACTTTACTACTATGCCTTCTGTACTACACATATGTCTGATCCATACAATAAACTGGGTAATGTGCGAGTCGAACTTTTATTTACACCACGAACTACCCGACACCTTCAGACTACTCATCTACCAACCAAATTTCTTTATTTATTTTTTACTAGCTACTCGCACGTCTTTACCTACTCTGCTTGGCCCCTATTGATCGTAGATCGATCCTTAGATTATCACATTTTTCTTATGTTAAATAGGCCAACTTTTGGCCACTATCCCATATTCAAGCAAACAGGCTCTTCAGCTTTATATAATACTAGCTTTTACCCGCGGCTTCGCTCGCGTCACAAAAAGATAAAACGTAGCCTATGTGACTACCCATCCGTTCAACTACCTTCAGTTGAAAAACGTTAAGTATCTGCGTTTTGCCGTTTAAGACAGGCAAACAAACAAACAGCTGTTCGCTTGCGTGGAATTCGGTTATAACGCGCGTTTTAGATTTTTCCGTGGGAATGAGAAGTTCTGCCGAGGTAAAGCCTTGCTTTTCCAGGACTCAAACTACCTTTATACCAAAATCGATTCAGCCGCGTGAAAGAACAGAAGAAGTTATTTTCGCATTACCACAAATACCTCCTCCCATTTTAATTTAAAAGACTTCTATTTCCTATAAGGGTTATATTTGCAATGCTAAACCAAAACTGAGTGGTAAACTATATTATACGTTTTATTATCGAAAACCTAACTACTTTAGACATCTACTTAGAAATAAACCACTTCACTAATCTAACCTAACTAATATAGCTACTGTATCAATCAACGTAAACAATGAACAAAACGTCTTAGAACTTAGGAACGACGAAAAAAAATTACTATAGTACTTTAAATATCTACCTAGAAAAAATAACACTTGACTTATCAAACCTACAAAGCGAACAAATAATAATCAATATAAGCGCTACATGCGTACCCTAAAATATAGTTGATACGGAAGCTCGGAACCTATACTTTCGCCGGTAACGAAACCATAGCGCCATCTAACTCGATCCTAACGCCATCTATCGAGCGTTGAAACAACAGCGTACAATATATTTGCTAATTGTTGAGTATTGTTGCCACTATGGTTTCGTGTACCTTTAACAATCTAAAATCTATAAAATACGCAACTTAATCTATAAAGTACGCAAAAAATAAAATGGTTGGAACCAAAATTTAAAAGCGAAGAATACTTAAAAAACACAACGCTATTCCGTTTTATAAACACTCAGCGCCATCTATCGCCAAGTAGCGTAACTACCACATAGACACCAATTTCGTGTACCTTTAACAACCTAAAATCTATAAAATACCCAATAGGGTAGACGACTAATTTTTATTTTAATGTCCGTCTGGTAGATTATTTAAAAACATTAGACACGTATTTTTTCTTTTCTCACAGAAACGAATAGTTTCGAAGATATATTGATTTGAAATGTCGCGTGACGTCACTTCTCAGTACATTATATACTAAGAAATGACGTTTTAGCCCCCACTCCTAAACTTTGATTCGTTTTATCTAAGTATTGTTTTATTATACGACAAAATAAAAAAATACGTGTCTAATATTTTTTCATTACCTAACTTACGGACTAATTATATTTTTAATTTTCATACCCTGTCATCATCCCCATTCAATGTAAAATGGTAGGAATCAAAATTTAAAACCGATAAAAATACTTAAAAAACAACGTTACCCCGTTGAATATATAATAATAAACACTCAGCGCCATCTATGGCCAAGTAGCGTAACTACTACATAGTCACCAATTTTGTGTACTTTAACAACCTAAAATCTATAAAATACGCAATTTAATGTAAAATGGTTAGAACCAAAATTTAAAAGCGAAAAATACTTAAAAAATAGCGTAACTACTACATAGACACCAATTTCATGTACCTTTAACAACCTAAAATCTTTAAAATACACAATTCAATGTAAAATGGTAGGAACCAAAATTTATAAGCGATAAAAGTACTTTAAAAGCACAACGCTACCCCGTTTTATAAACACTCAGCGCCATCTATCGCCAAGTAGCGTAACTACTACACAACGTTACCACGTTGTGTTTTTTAAGTATTTTTACATAAAAAATAGCAAATAAATGAGTCGAAAAGAGCACTGAATAAGTGTAGATTAACACCAAATAAGCGCTATAGATTAAAGCGTGAAATTTCCAATTAGTAGGTAATTCGTTGAATTGTTTTAGATGGCACAAAGCGCCATCTACAGGAATACACACAGCGCCATCTATACTAATATTTTTGTTTTCCCTCGGGAATATCACATTTTTCCGGGATAAAAAGTACCCTATTATTTAATCCGGACGTCCAACTTTACGTCTGCAAAAATTCAAAGCAATCGGTTGAGTAGTTACGGCGTGATGGTGGAACAAACAAACAAACAAACAAACTCACTTTCAGATTTATAATATTATATATATATAGTAAGGATATAGTAAGGATTATAGTAAGGATAGTAAGGATAGTAAGGATAAGGATACTAGCGACCCGCCCCGGCTTCGCACGGGTGCAATATGTATATACATACAAACCTTCCTTAAGAATCACTCTATCTATTAAAAAAAACCGCATCAAAATCCGTTGCGTAGTTTTAAAGATCTAAGCATACATACGGACATACAGCGAAAGCGACTTTGTTTTATACTATGTATTGATATAATACTAAGTATATGTATAAGATACATGTGTTTATTTTGAATAGCAAATATTCAATCTTCTTAGATATTAGACACTTAAGATGTATCATCTCCTCAGTATATACTTATATACTTATAAATTCATCATTATTTGGTATTCTTAGGTCCATACCTATACATACCATGACCATTCATGGTCTGTGATAAATCCCTACAGAAATGTTACCTAGGTACATAGATTAGATGTAAACTGTACACCACATTATGATACATAACTAAATTCCAATAAGCGACTCAGATTCTGATAAATTATTGATGAAAAGACGAAAGAACTTCTCATTTTGAAACAACTTTACAAAAAAACAACAAATCTTCGCCCGATTGGTATTATAACCCGACCAAACGAAATAGGTTTCAAGCAAAGAGGCTATCAACACAAAGGACGGAGCGCCACAAACAGGTCGGATTATAAAAAAAGTAGTTCCATCGCCAAGAAAATGGATGCCGTGGCGTCTTCGCTATTGTGGATCGATAAACAGTAAGGTCCCTTTTCACCAAGCTCTGTAAAAACTCAGTTACACGTAACCTAAGTTTAAAGTAACCTAAGTTCTGTGTTCTGTGTTTTCTGTACTGAGTTCCGTGTAAACTAGTTTCTGTTTGTAGCGGTGAAATGTAAAATGAAGCTGTAACTTCGTTTAAACGCTTTAAATTCGATTAGACGCTTTAAATCAGTTTTGTTAGGTGTAATCGTGATCAGTTTCGTTGGTGAAAAGGGACCTAAATCAGTTACTTACACTTAGATTAAGGGTCTCGGAAAGCATTTCAGCGTATACTTCACGCTTCCCCATCCAAAAATATTCCGTAGAAATGTCCTTATAGCACCCTTCCGCTAAACAACAACGACAAACATTTGGACCGGCTCGCCAATCCGTAGTTTTAGGATCCATTTTTACGTTTTACTAACTTATCTTCACAGGAAATATGTTTCTCATAATAATTACTACAAACTAACTAACTCGAATAGACAAACACACATTACAACTATTTATTTTCACGAAACAAACGCAAAGCGACGCCATCGATCGCTTGACGGCGCGGCGGTGCGCTAGTGTTGTTCAATGTCGAAAAACGAAACGAATGCGCAACGTGCGCGCGCACTCGCGCACCGGTAATGTCAGATTATCGATTCTTCATATCTAATGATGGACGGCGAGAAGGTGTCCTAAGTTGATTGAGAACTTTATTGCTCTTAAATATTTGCATAATCTTTCTTTGCGAACAAAGTGTTTTAACAATTTGATAAAAACTGTTCCCAAGTGATTTGTTTTATAAATAAACGAAATCCAAAGTGAAATGATTAGTGCTCAAACCGAATAGTGATCATTAACACAGTTCTGGAAGAAGATTCAAGGTGGGGCTTTTTAGTTCCTGTTACAATTATTAATTGGGTTGAGAAAATTTAATCAAAATGAGGGGCTTGCTCGAACTGACTATGGAAGATCTTATTGCCACCCAACGTCTAATCGGTCAAACGCTTCAAAGAACGAATAGATTTATGGTAACCTTACATTCAAAAATGCCCCTTGTAAGACAAGATTATACTAAAGAAACAGTCAATGCTTTAAAAACTTTATGGAAACTCTTTGATGACAATAACTTATTGTTAAGCGAAGCTCAATTAAAAGATGATAAGTATTTTACTGAAAAATACTACGGAAAATGTAAAAAATATTTCATTCACGTAGTGGGCGTCGTTCGAGAATTCGTAAAACATCACGGTGATGAACCATTTAAGGTAGAACCCGAAACCAGAGACAGAAAAATGAGAAACATCCTGATCTCTCACCAGCGTGAGCGTCTTAATATGTTGAAACATAAAATCGCTGCAATCAATATTGACCGTATCCATACCCTCACAGAGATGGAAGATTGCCAGAACTCACTCCTTCACTATTGGAAAACAATAGAAAAATGTCACTATGTAATCTGGAGTCACTATCGCATTAGCTGGCCTGATGTACCTTACGAACTTGAATTCGTACTGTACAAAAACATGTATGATACAACAATATCGCTGTTTAATTACAAAATCGATTCGTACATGTATCCTTCCGTGCGAGTGATTCCACATATTGGGATTCCAACTTGGAGAATGTTCGATAGACCCTCAGAACCACACCCATTTTCTGTGAAGTCAGTCGCTTGGGCCAACTTCAGTGGATTGAGTGAAGTCATCCGCAACAACAAAATATCTGAAGGAGAGAGGCGACAACTTCTTATTAGAACGTTTCTGACATATCAGGTTTACGAGCCGTTGACTCCAGAATCATCGGACAACGAAGAAGATGGCGGTGGGATAGTTCAACAATTCGCACCGTCTAATCCGGAGGTTGCAGTGGTGGATAGTTACGAGTCCGATTCTTCCTCGTCAGAAGAAGAACCCGTAGAGGCAGCAGAGGCTGCGGAGATACAGCTTGTGCCTGTGCGACCACTCGTACCAGAGGAACACGCTATGCCAGCAGTAGCGCCCGCGCCGAATAATGATTCTGCACAAATGCCTCCGCCAGCACAGGTACCACGTGCTAAACCGAGGAAGCGTACTGGTCCCGTCCAGATTGCTGTCGTTTCACAAGAGTCTGTTCCAGCCAAACGATCTGCCTCTGGAAACCAAGCTGCGCCAATACCAGGTGTATCGGGTGTACAGCGAATTCAACTGCTGGTTCCAAAGCACCACCCACGTCCTGACAAGTCGCCAAAACCAAAAAGTACACAAACAAAAGTGATTGCGCAAATGAAAAGACTTTCCGCGTTAAATATGTCGGAATCAATGGTAATGTCTATACCCATAAACATGACCGCATCGGCAGGTGTAGCTGTACCGACAGCTGCACCCAAAGTGCTTCCACCTAAAGTAGGAGCAGCATCAATAAAAATGGCAATACCTATGAAGATGGTAACATCGACGAACACGAATGTGCCAATGTTTATGGCTGTGCCAATGACCATGCGCATGCCAATGAAAATGTTGGTGACGGCTGACGTAGCTTCTGCCATGGAATCTGCTGCGTTGCTGACACTAGTCCAGCCGAGGCAGAAGGTTTCACCTAACCAAGGAATCCGCCATGACCTACCAATGGAACTGGTGGTCCTGCAAGCACTTACAGAGGAATCAGTTTCACCCAACCAGCCATCTGACCTAGATCAAGCTGCACCGAAACGAAGCGTGTTGGGGTATTCATCTGACTCTAAATCTACTGGTTCAGAGTCGTTTGTACCAATGGAACTGACATGGCAGCAGGGTCATCTCGCCCCAATGTTGAATCGGAACATTGCTATACCAGTGAACATTGCTATGCCAGTGGCAGGAAACGAGGACCCAATGGATGCATATGATTCATATGCTGAACAAGACTATGATGTTGATTAAATTCATCCCAGGGCGTCGTGAATTATTATTATTTTACTTTGATATTGATACTAATCTTCATCTAAGTATTTCCAAAAGTCAACACCTACTCATTTTTGTAGCTGTTTTTAAATTTACACTAACAAATCTAAATTTAAAAAATGTACTTTTATCTTGAGAACCTAGACTGTGTACTCTCCTCTTAAATAAAATACTGATTCTCCCACACCAACAGACGAATCAGTAAATATTTAAATTTTAACTTTGATGGTATCGATTGACAAATTTTTCATGAAAATTGAAATTTCCAGGTTTGAGAGTGATATGCTTGATGTCACAGGGTATTGTCACATATTAAGATTGATACTTGAAGGCTGAGATGTTGAGATGGTTAAATGATTTCCTACTTTTGTAGGTTGTTATTGTGATGGTGTGAAACACAGTGTAAAGCTTTTGTAAAGCGAAATTTAATGCAACTATTGCGATCATTGAGGTATAATATCATTTAAGTATGTTTCAAAATAGAATGATGTTAACATAACTAAAGTGTGATGACTAAAAAATGTTTTGAGTTTTTTACCCTTTATAATTGTATTTAAAACTTACTCCTCAGTATTATCGAAGTATTAACTTCTCTTTGACTTGTGTTGTACCTTGTACTAAAATTTTTGTAATGTGGAGTATTTAGGAATATTATTTTTGTAAAATTATATTCACGACTGACTTGATGAAGACTCAAATAGTCCCAAATATAGGGACATTCTTTATACATTCAGTAAGTGTAACTTTGATGTATTAGAAATAGTTCCATATCAATTCATTATAATATGAACTTAAAATTAGTGGATTTTATTGATCTATGTGTAACGTATTACAATTTCAAAATACATTCATATATTGGACTCTAGAGTATACGATGTTAATTATAATCATTCAATGTTTAGTAAGTAGAATAGAACATAGTTCAAATATATAAGTTTATTGGAAAGTTTTGGAAATTTTATCAAAATCGTAACTCTTAAAGTGTTACTCAGATTATTAAGTATTTTATCTGTCATTTGAGATCAATAGGAACTGCCTGTTCCAATGATTACGATTACGGTTAGCGTAAAATTAGAAATTTATCATAATTGAAATCTCATGTAACAATTATAATATTATTAAATGATTAATAAAGGTAAATGGCGTCTTATTTACATTTCCTAAGATAAAAGTCTTCTCCATCTTCCTTTATTTGTACATTTTTCTATCATTTTCTAAAATTTACATAAACTGCATAAATATCTGCATACCTACATAATAACTAACATTTTTTTTTTATAAAAATTAACTCATAAACTCGTGTCTACTCAATTCTCCTAAGTGTAGCCAAATACATTAGGTACTTCTACACGTTCTGTTTCCAATATTGTTTGGCTTAACGTCGAATATATTTAAAAAAATCTTAAATTGCGAAAGTTTGTGACGCCGTGTGTGACTGTCTACTGAAGAGATCAAAATAAAATTTGAGACAGGGTTTGATTATGATCTGGAATAACACACATATTTGGAATAACATATATAACACCTTTTATTCATAATAATTTAATTCTGAATAATAAACTTTTTATTATTTAGGTCAGTCCGCTCGTTGAATTTGTAGCAGTATTTGTCGCTAATACTTGTAATTTTAAGTATATTTTGGCTTCTTTTAAATTATTTGAGAATTTAAATCTTTTGATGAATTTTCTATTTTAAATAACTATTATTTGCTAACAGCACCATCTTTTGTGGGATAGTAAGACTTTTGAAAAACCGAACTTTACTTACCGATTTACAACTTCTCGTAAAACATAATTGCCATCACTAAAATTGCTGTCAAACGCGTAAGTCGATAGATTTGACATATAATTTTTTCTGTTTTTCTGTCAAAAATTATCAAAATATTATTTTGACTCGCCGTCAATGGAGATCTAAACGCATTTTCTGTAAAAATGACTACGATTACACGTAAAGGTCCTATTGTAGACCCTGGCTTATGTAGATGCTGTGGTGCTACGAAGAAATGCCGTCTTCTAAACGTTGAATACGAGTGGCTAGGAACAAGAGAAGTGTATTCCGATATGTTTGTCGATTGCTTCGGTTTACTTGTAAGTACATAATTAATATTACGCTTTCTACCTAGTAAAGATGTAGGCAGAGGAGCACAGAATAAAAGCATCTACTATTATTTAAAGAAAAAAAAGGCAGCACTGTTCACTTTAAATTGCTATTTATTATTGCTTTCTGTTTCGTTATAGATAGTATCTCTCTAAAAAATAAGTATGGAGGCGGCGGGGCGCGTGAGGGAACGAACCTCCTCACGCCCCAGTCGTAGCGAGAAACACTCCGGGCGTGGAGATCACGAGACTATCTCCGACCACCTTAAGCATGGGACTGCGGATGGTGAGCACGGGGGACGCGCCGCCCAACCCAAACCAAGCTTGGGACCCGAGCGTTGGACGCTTCGCGTTTCGCGCGCCCCATTCTGCTATCAGATCCCTAAAGATAGGGTCCGATAGGGCTGATGCCGACACGGAGCCATGGAGGACATAACGGGTTGCCGGGGCTCCGACTAGAAGTGCAGGAGTAGGAACGGAGTAGCCTTTTTTTAGATGAACTTATACTAAGAATTTACAACCATAAACTTTTTTTGTTGATTTCCAGTTATCTCACTTGGAGGGCGAGGAGTCGGAGCGTCTAATCTGTGCGACGTGTGTAGTGCGACTGAGGGACGCACGCGCCTTCAGACAACAGGTGCTGCAGCGAGAGGAAATACTGCTCAATGCTAATATTAAAGTACATGATGGTAAGTTTTTTTTTTAATGTTGCCCCCCGCGCTATGATTTTCTCCTGTGTCGTGCTGCGGTTACAAACATACTAGTTCACATACACATCACTCATAGTCACGGAACAAGAATCTGTGGATCAAACAAAGAGCTGTTCCATGTGAGAATTAAACCTGTGGCAGCCAGTTACCCAGCCACCGCGCCAACCATACAGTCAAAAAGTCCACCGTTAACGTCTTTTCTCATCGCCTTAATTATGGTGCTGATGATAAAATACAGCTATTGCATATCATAGTAGTGCGGAAGAGCCATGCTTCAGCACGAATGGATCACCTGGACCGGAATGATACCAAGGCGTCACAGAAAACCGACGTGAAACGCTTGCATTGTGTTTTATGGCGTGACAGGTTACCAAAGTCTCATTCTTATATAATATGAGGTTATGAATATATTAACTCTTTGAGTATCGTCATTCATTATAGACACAAGTAAAGAACAATAGGTTGCGATCACCGGTGACCACTTGGTGTTTGACAGTTTAAATTCTCACTGAATTGGTTTCAATTTTTATTTATTAGGAGTTTGTCTTTCTTTCAACAAAATTGAAACCTCACTTTCCACAATTTATGTTTTTCAAATCCCTTACTATTTTCAGAAGAAGATTGCTGCACCAATACCCTAATATTCAAGAGTGAACTAGAAGTCAAGACAGAACCAGAAGACTGTACTCCAACTGAAGAACCTCAAGTAGATGACCAGCTAGCTATAGATGATGGAAACCAAGTCCCGGATGTTAATTTAGATGTTGAAAATGAAGGCCAGAATTTGGATGGTGAGATGGATGATACGTACCAACCGGATGAGGATATTGGTAAGTTTTGCTTGGTTTTTGGTTGGACTGCTTCATTGGCCAAGTGGTCGCAAGTGCGACTGCCGGGCAAGGGGTCTTGGGCTCGATTCCCGGGTCGAACAAAGTATTACTGGGTTTGTAAAAACCTCAGTAGTAGCACGGAGTCTGGAAATGTGCCCGGATATGGCTCTCCCCCTATTACATGGGAATGGGACTCATAACATAAATAGTGAAAAGTGGATGTTGCATTGTACAGTGGCATTAAATGCCGTAATGTGCACCTCTGCCTACCCCTTCGGGGATAAAAGGCGTGATGTTATGTTATGTTATGTTGTTGCTTGGTTTTTGAAAATGTCTAGTCGCGTAGTAGTCCGTCGCCTATAGATGGGCCATTACAAAGGTGCGTGCGAACTGTCAGAAGTTTTTCAAAATCAAAATCATTTATTCCAATTAGACCTGGAATCTCACTCTAGAATCCAATTCCGATCGATCGAGATTGATATTGTGAAATTTCGTACTCTTGAGGTTCAACACTAGCGCCCATTGCATCCGTATTGCGTGGATATTGAATGAACTAAATTGTATTTTTTTAAGGGTTATCTTATTATCATCGAATAACTTCTCCCGCCCGGGTGAGGCGGGAGAGAGTGTCAGACTCTTACTGACTAAACACCACCCCGTTCCTTCTCCTGCCCTTCGAGCCGGAGCCCCGGTAACCCGTAAAGCCCCCCTCTTTGAGGCGCGCGGAACGCTCGGTGCCGTACGCACCCATGATCGCCGTCCGCAGGCCCGTACTTACGGTGGCCGGATAATGTCCAGAGTGTTCTTCGCGACGGCTGGGTTGTGAGAAGGCAGCGCTTCGCTGCCTCATGCCCTCTGCCTCCTCCTTAGCTAGCATGACTGCTTCGCAAAAGGAAGAGACGGCATACCAGTCCTCCTCGCTCCGCATTACGGCCCAAACTAGGGCCGGACGCGAGAAGTCGCCTTCAACTAAATGGTATTGACTTTGAGTTTAGCTTTATATTCCGTACTCTGATTGTTATTGTAACAGCTACGATTGTGGCTGTATAGTTTAGACATTGAATAATTATTGAGATTTTATTGGGTTGGAATTGCATGGCTCTTTTGAACGTCAAAACAAAATATTTGAATATAAAAAAATGCCCGTCTGTCGGTTGTCTAGTGAAGCTATTTGCTCGTTATTTTTATCAGATCACTCACTCACACATATACGTGTTGTGCGGCATTGTCAACGACAACAAACAAAATTAAAAGTGAAGCTATTTGCTCATTCCAAGGTGTAGATTCCTATGGAGAAGAACGAGCAAGAAACTCCATAGGTTACTCTTTTTCAATCGGGTTCACAATACAATTCTTTAGTTACATAGTTTTGCTTTCAGAAGCGGACAATGCAAGCGATTCGTCATATAAAATCAAAAAATCCCCAAAGAAGAAATTAAAGACGAAAACGAAGACTAGTAAGCGGAAAAAGGTGGAGTCTGAATGTAGGCAGGTCAAGTTGAGGAGTAGGAACGATGATGTACAGGATACAGGTAAATCACTCTAATATTATAAAATGTTGACTGCCTCTTTGTTTGAGTGGTCACAAGTGCGACTGCCGGGCAAGGGGTTTCAGGTTCGATTCCCGGGACGGGCAAAATTATTACCGGATCTTTAAAAAAATTCTTAGTGGTAGCACGAATTCTGGAATTGTGCCCGGTATATGACAATATGCTCACCCCCTGTTACATGGGACTTATAAAATAAATAGTGAAAAGTGGGTGTTACATTGTACAGTGGCATGATCTGCACTTCTGCCTACCCCTTCGGGGATAAAAGACGTGATGTTATGTTATGTTACTTTTTGAGTTTAGCCCGGAAATACATACAGACAAACAGACAAAAATAATAAAAACCATATTTTTAGCTTCGGTATCGCTTATAGATCACGCTCCAAGCATTGTTTTAAAAAAATATGCAATGTACACTTTACACTTACCTACGATTCTATTATATGTATATAGATGTTTCATCATGTTTCACAAGGGGTAGGCGTAGGAGCACATATAATATGGCTGGTGCAATGTGCACAATAGACATAATTACTCTCCATTAAAATGTAACACCTATTTATGATTATTCTAAGGCCTGAATCACTCTATCTATTAGAAAAACCGCATCAAAATCCGTTGCGTAGTTTTAAAGATCTTGACATACATAGGGACAGACAGACGGCGGATAGCGAAGGGGGTAGGCAAAGGTTTAAGTGTGCATGAATTATTATTTTCACCCCTAATGTATAATAGGGGGTGATCTTATCGCCCCACATCGAGGCGATTACAAATCAATAAGGCTCTAACAAAGCTTTGTCCCATCCGGAACTTGAACCCGAGGCCTCTCGCACTGGCTCACACTCGACGAACGAGGCATACCGCGCATATAAAAAAAAAGTTTTGAGTCCCAAGCAAAAGAATCGAACTGGAATCCATTACTAAAAATATTTCATTTTTTTTTTCAGGCACAAAATCGCTGTCGCCACCAGTAAAAAGAAACATAGACAACGAACAAAAAATCCTCTTTAACACCATTACTATAGTAGAAAATTCATATGTTTGTCCGTTCAACTCATCGTTTAGTGACTACTTCTGTATATATTGTAGACAAGGACACACGGACCCAAACAGATTACGCGAACACACACTAACACACGACCCAAAAGCATTCAAAGACATTGTCTCAATAAAAAAACAAATACAAATCGATATATTCAGAATCGATTGTCGACTCTGTACAAACACAATCGATGACCTACAATCGTTTAAAACGCACATCACTAGCGCGCACGGCATAACCCTATTTGACGTCACAAACGAATTTTTAAAGTTCCGTTTAACTGTAAACAATTTGACGTGTATAGAATGCGACAGTAATTTCGGGTTTTTTCACGCATTAAAAAAACATATGGCTGAACATTTTGGAACTTGTATTTGTGACATATGCGGCGCCCATTACTTCGAAGAACGCATGTTGGTATTACACCAAAAAACTCATAAAAAAGTCGACCTAAGTTTTCCTTGTAAAGACTGCGGTAAAGTATTCAAATCTAAACACAGTCGATACTTACATGAAGCTAAAATGCATAGAAAGGAACCGGCTTACCAGTGCTACAAATGCGACTCTGTATTCTTTACATATTCTCTAAGATATAGACACATGATCGACACACATGGTGAAGAGCGAATGTTCCCATGCGACAATTGTGACAGAGCTTACGACAGCCGAAAATCTTTAAGGGAACATAATAGACGACATCATTTGAAGGTTTTAAAACATCAATGTGATCTGTGCGATAAACGGTTCTATCTCCCGTCGCGGTTGAAAGAACATATGGCGACTCATACGGGGGAGAGGAACTTCAGATGTGAGTTTTGTGGTAAGTCTTATCCCAGGTTAAGGGGTTTAAATGTACATATACAATCCCATGTCAGTTTTAAAAAGTTCAATTGCCTAATTTGTAACGCTACTTTTACGCAAAATTTCAATTTGAGGAATCATATGAAGAGGCAGCATCAGAGTTTGAGCTTGGATGAGGGGAATGAGTAGGCTTTGTCTCTTTCTAATTCGGATGGTTGGTTAGTGTGTGAGTAAGACGGGTATGTTATTGGCTTGAGGTATCAACTTTAAAAAAACATAAATGGTCGTCGTTTTGTCGAAATTAAAAATCTAAGCAATAAATAGTTATGTTCAAGGCAATTGGTAAAATATAATAGTGAAGTTTGCTGTGTAAATACTAAAGGTTAAACATTTTTTGCGCTGTCTAGAGGGCGCTACTGGCGTTTATAGTCCTATCAGCATAATCGCTTTTCTGTAATCTCTAATGGAGTTGCTTTAGTGAGAGGCATGTCAGTAAGACTCGACATTGATTACGTTAAAATCGGTCGCTATGTCAAAAATTCTTGAATAAATTTGGAACTTTATTACTGAAGATTAAAGTAATCTATGAAAATATTTTTCACTTAGCGTCGAAATTTTACTATAAATGTTATCAGCTTTTTTAATACGTTAAAATACCTTTTATTTTTGTATGCAAAAATGTCGACTAAGTACCTATAAATAGTATAATAAATATAATTAAATACAAGGCGTTGTTTTAAAGCCGCGTCATTTTCTAGGAGGTAACTCGGCTATCGGTTCTCGAATCAATAAAAAAATTGTAGGTAAATATTTTTCATTTATCTGTAAATTATAGAATTCCGTAAGTGCGAACAACACGCCGCCGTCTTGTAACTAGCTTTATAACGCGGCTTAACACACACAAACTCAAACTCGTAATTGATATTGTTCCTAATTCCATAAAACTCCAATAAGAAACATTGCTGTCGCTTATTCTGAAATACTGTCGAACTTAAACGATTTATTATAGTCGTATTTTTAACTATTGGCCCGAAATTTTCTCTTACATTGAACCTTTATGACTTCTGTGACGTGCCTCCGAGAAATGACACGGTTTCAAAACTACACCTTGTATAATATAGTACATTTCAGTACAATCTTCTTCAGTTTAATATTTTTGTTAACTAGCAACACTAAGTGTTAGTGATGGGGCATAGTGTAAAAATTGTACTATAATTTGACGTATTTAAGTTTGTAAATTTTAAATTACATGTATTATATTCTTAAGTAATTTTTTATCATATAAAATGTACTTAATAATAAATAATGCGATTTTATAATATTTTTACAGTGTTTTTATTCTTAAATCATCTAGTATCTTAATATATGTGACTGCACGGTTGGTGCGGTGGCTGGGCAACCGGCTGCCGCGGAACGTGTAGCGGGTTTGGTTCCTGAACGGAGCAACTCTTTGTGATCCATAAATTGTTGTTCCGTGTCTGTGTGATGTGCACGTCAACTTGTATGTCAACGCACCCACGACACAGGAGAAAATCCTAGTGATTTTTTTTAAGGGGGGAAAATCATCGAATGTCTGCTCCCGCCTGGGTGAGGCGGGAGGGGGTGTCAGAGTCTTAATGACTATAATCCACCCCGTTACTTCTCCTGCACGTTGAGCCGGAGCACCGGTAACATGTTAGGTTCTCCGCGACAAAATCCTAGTGTGGGGCAACGTTTAAGTAACTCCACTTAGCTGGAGGGCGTCCTACACTACGTTTGCCTAGGCGCGATCTCCACTCTAGAACACAAGACATGTACTTCAACGGTCATCAATAGGGATGATGACAGGGTGTAAATAATAGTCTGTCAGTTATGTTATGAAAAAATATTAGACACGTATTTTTTTAATTTGTCGTATAAGATAAATAAATAACAGTAATTAGATAAAACGGATCAAAGTTTAGGAGTGGGAGTGAAAACGTCATTTCTTTCTACGTATAAAACATACATAGAAATGACGTCACGTGACATTTCAAATCAATATTTCGTCGAAAGTATTTGTATCTCTAAGGAAATAAAAAATACGTGTGTAATGTTTTAAAATAATCTACCAGACGGACATTAAAGTAAAAATTAGTCATGTACTATTATTCTTTTTTTATGGAATAAGCCGGGAGGTCGAAACTAGCGACATCTGGTGAACAATAATACGGTAGGCCCCATTTTCACATAGAAGAGTCATGCTTCAACACAGATGTATCATATTGATCGGAATGTTACCACGGCTTCACAGTGCGCTGGCGTGAAATAACGCTTGCATTGTGATTAGTAGTACAAGAGCCCTAATTCCCCTCAAAAGCCAGGCATCGCACTTGTTTTTTTTATTATTGCATAAGCCGGTAAACGAGCAGACGGATCACCTGATGGTAAGCAATCGGCGTCGCTCATGGACAACTGGAACACCAGAGGTCCATCAGCTAGTGCGTTACCAGCATCTGTTTTGGCGTTCTATGGTTTCTGTTTACCCGATTGGGAGAGAGGCGTGAAGTTATGTATGTAGGTACGTAATTATAGTATAACATCACGCTTTTTATCCCCGAAGGGGTACACAGATGTGTACATTACGTCAGTTACTGCCACTATATAACGTAACACCAACTTTTTACTATTTATGTTATGAGTCCCATGTAATAACGCATTCAGTGCCCATGACGCGTCTGTGCGTTTTGTGACACGACGCTATGTGCCCGGGACTCAAATATGCGTTCTATTCATTTGACCCTTTTTTTACCTGCTGCCCGTCGACGCGTCCGAGGGTCTATTGTTTCGAAACCCATATTTACACATATGTACTTCCTTATCTGATTTCTTTGATAAAGGTCATTACACACTTTGGACGAATTATAAAAAAAACTTATTCTACTACTACCAATGCAATAATCAATAATTTTGTTCAGCCGTTTCGAAATATAAATATACTTAGAACAATTGAAAAAAGAAATATCCACGTAACTAAGACTACGATCACCTTTGGTGGTATTTTTTTTCAATGTTATCTCAATCATCTCTTTTTTTTCCAAGAAACCTAAAATTTCACATAACACATACATACGCACAATAGAATCACATTAGTTTGCTGATAACGGCAATACAATGCACGGCGGTGCCTTAGAAGATTTTAAATACCACGAGAGCTAAAGCCAAAATCTACCTAGATACCTAATTGTTTTTCCAAGAAACCTAATATTTCATATGACTCTTATCTACATACGCACAATAGAATCACATTAGTTTGCTGATAACGGAAATACAATGCACGGCGGTGCCTTTGAAGATTTTAAATACCATATCCACCAGGCGCTATAGCCAACTATCGAAATGTTTTAGGATAAACCTATACGAGATAATAAGTACCTTACTAAATATCTATGGTGAAAGACTATAATTTATATATACTGGCATCGCGTCGTGACATACGTTTAAAAATCCAACATCAACCTCCTGTTTTTGAAGTAGGTTAATTAGTATACTAAACCCATCCCCTAAATGTAACAGAAGTTTTTCTGAAAACCGCATCAAAATCGGTTCAACCAATCGCGAGATAATCGCGTACAAACAAACAAACAGGTCAAACTGAGAACCTCATTTTTTTTAAGTCGGTTAAAATACAACAATGTTCTAAATATAAACCTACTTACCAATTATAGAATTATTACGTTCATCCTTAGTTTATATTTAGATAATTTTTTCAATTTCACTACATAAAATAAACAATCTTATGGATTATAAATTCCATTACAGTGTGTCATGACCCTAACTTTTATCTACAGATACATAATATTCTATCGTATTTTCGTAAGTATATAACAAACGCACAGACGCGTCACGGGCACTCGCCGAGAGTCGAACGGACGCATATATGAGTTTCGGGCACACGGTGGGAGCCGTAAGAACGCGTATATGAGTTTCCGGCACACGAAAAGGGCAAACATTGAACGCAATAGTGCGTGCGGGGCACTGTAGGATGTCTTATAATTCGGGCACTGGAGAAAATCCACTGGGCAGTGAATGCGATAAGGGGTAAGCCTATTGCCATATACCGGGCATAATTCCAGACTCCGTGCTACTACTAAGATTTTTTTTAAACATAAACCCAGTAATACTTTCCCAAACCCGGGAATTGAACCCGATACCCCTCAGTCGACAACTCGGTTACCGGTGCAGTCGTTACAAATTACAAGGTTTTAATTTAAAAAAAAACAACAGTTATTGTTTTATCAATTGAAATTCGATTTATTTCATGTTTTAAACCTACTTATACATATAAAACTTGTACTTATCCAGAATATGGAGTACAAATTCCTATACAGTTTATATTAATAATTTAATTACAACTATTTATTATTTACATTAGAAATAAGGCTATATTTCATCGAGACATCATGGCGACGCAACCAGTGGCGCCACTGGTGTCGCGGGCAGATTGGTAGCGCAACCAAGCATATACTCCTTGAGTAACTCTATAGAACTGCATACATTTTGGTGGTAGCAGCGACTGATAACGCCTCAATGGTATTCCAGTGAAATATAGGCCTAAATATGTACAATTTTCTTCGAATAATAATATTAAAAATAATCAGTTCACTTTTAAACATAATTCAAATAACGAACAATTGTAAAACCTCTTAGATAAATAAGAAGGGTATACATAACATCTAAAACAATAATTTATAATTAAATAATTCTTAAGACCACTAATAAATAAATAATTCCTTAATTTTAATCAAACAAATTAAGTACTTACTTAGTATATTATACAATATGCAAAAAAAATATCTAGTCAGCCAAATCATTCAGTATGCACGTAAGAAAACAATGATTGCTTCAGTACAGAGACAGAGAGTAGCCATTGGTTGTCTAGAGCCGACCAATGGTTACAAAAGGTGAGGTGTGGCTTCGTTACAAAGCATACAATTCAGTATAACAATAGCTACTGTCTCTGTACTGAATCAATCTTTGTTTTCTCACCTGCATACTGAGTAACCTGGTTGTCTGTACACATTCTGTACGCATGTGACAGCAACTTGCTGTGTGTTAAAGAAATCTATTCATTAAATTAAATAATGGCTGGATGTTTTCCATGACTATCCAATTTCCGGATTTACTCATCAAGTTTAAGTTACCCACTCGACTTTCCAAATATACAAATTACCCAACCGGCATCCCAGATTAAACCAACTATATTTCCAGATTCACGCAACCAGCTTTTTTAGATTTACAATTACCCAACCAGCTTTCTAGATTAAGCCAATCATCTTTCCAGATTAATCTAACAAGGTTTCCAGATTTACCCAATCAGCTTTCTAGATTAAGCCAATCATCTTTCCAGATTAATCTAACAAGGTTTCCAGATTTACCCAATCAGCTTTCTAGATTAAGCCAACCATCTTTCCAGATTTATCCAACAAGGTTTCCAGATTTACCCAATTAGCTTTCTAGATTAAGCTAACCATCTTTCCAGATTTTCACAGCCAGCTTTCCACATTTATCCAACAATGTTTCCAGATTTACACAACCATCTTTCCAGATTGACACAATCAGTTTTTCAAATATACCCAACCAACTTTCTAGATTTACCCAAAAAGTTTTCTAGATTAAGTCAATCTTTCCAGATTTATCCAACCATCTTGCCAGATTGACACACCGAGCTTTCTAAATTTACCCAACCAGCATTCCAGATTTACCCAGCCAGGTTTCCGGACTTACCCAACCAAATATCTTTACTCGACCAGCCTTCCTAACTAATCACTTCACACCTACCTCATCTCATACTCCGGATGCTGGCTTTTCATATGTCCCTTCAAACTGCAATTCTGAATAAACGCCTGACCACAAACATGACATCGGTACCTTCTGTCGTTTGTATGTATTCGCATATGATCCTTCAGGGTTTTCAGACGAGGGTAACATTTTTCACAGACTTTACATTTGAAGTTCCTCTCGCCGGTGTGTGTCGGCATGTGATTGTTTAGAGCGAAGCGAGTGAAGAACTTCTGGCCGCAGCATTGGCATTCATATCTGAAAAAGTTAAATTATAATTTCAGATGTTTAGGGTTCAGTGCTCCCATATATTAAACCGTCAAACACCTGTGTTGACTGCACGGTTGGTGCGGTGGCTGGGCAACCGGCTGCCGTGCAACGTGTCGCGGGTTCGATTCCCGCTTTGTGTGATCCACAAATTGTTGTTTCGTGGTCTGGGTGTCATTGTGTATGTGAACATGTATGTTTGTAAACGCACCCACGACACAGGAGAAAATCCTAGTGGGGCAACGTTTCATAAAAAAAAAAAAATGGTATAGGAGAGGTGGTGAAAACGGCCATTTATTTATTTATTTATTTGAATAGGTTGGTACAAATACCAATTACACTACTAATACACAGACAATTAAAAGAATAAATAAATCGATCGACCGGAATTGAATTCAAGATTAAGCCCCCAGATCACACAACTCATCAGACTTTGGCTTCGAGTCCAGGAATCGGTTTAAGAGTTTCATTACGCCATTACTTACCTATAATCTTTAAGATGTTCCTTCCGCCTATGTATGGTGAGCGTCCGTCTTGTTTCGAATATTCGCTCACACATCGTACACGGGAAGCTGAGGGGCTCTTCTCCGTGGACCTGCGAGACAATGATATCATCTTTAATTTTATTGATAATATGCGATAAAGCTGCTACTTTCAACAAACAAACAGACAGACACATACTTCCTTATACTCAACAAAATTCAGTATAACCAAACTAAGGATATATTTCCCCCTCTTACCTCTCTTCCTCCCCTACCTCTCTCTTTCTACCACCTCTCGCTCTCTACCCCCCCACCCCGCTCGCTCTCCTCTCTTTTCCCCTTCTCACTCTCTCCCCCTCTCTCTTTTACTCCCCCCCCCCTCTCTTTCACTCCCCCTCGCTCTTTCACTCCCCCTCGCTCTTTCACTCCCCCTCTCTCTCTTTCACTCCCCCCTCTCTCTTTCACTCCCCCCTCTCTCTTTCTCTCCCCCCGCTCTTTCTCTCTCACCCTCTCACACACAAACACAATCACACTGTTACCGTCACTGCCACAAACATACACAAAACATTTAAAATTGACAATAAAATGAGAGGTAGTTGACGAACCTCGACCAAATGCTTCAACTTCTGATAGTAAGACATCAGTTTGACGTCGCACTTCGGACAGTAAACACGTCCCTTCTTGCGATGCACTCTGTCTATGTGTAGGTCTCTATTGTATAAGGCTTTGAACGCTTTCCCACAGTCCGGGCAGGGGAAGTCGCCTTCTTCGTGTCGTTGTTGGTGCATTACGAAGCGACCTCTGTCGACGAAACCTTTGAAAACAATGTTTTGTTTACTCAGTGTAAGCAGTAGCAGTATCGTATAAAAATTGAGTAAATATTTCCTTTAAGTTATGTTTAGTGTCTCATAAAAAAGGAAACAACTACAGTAGTCCGGTAACTGAACAGGGATAACTCATTAATATTTTGTTGAACTCGATCGAGTCGAACAATCTAAGGAAATTATTTAAATAATTATTTTGTTCCACTCACCCAATCCACAAGTCTCACAAACATAGTTGCTGTAATGTTCATTCATATGTTTATTCAACGCATGAAAATAAGGAAACAAGACGTTACAGACAGCACACTTCATCTCATCCCGACTCAATTTAAACGGCAACACTGAATCTTTATAATTAAAATAGTACTTTTTCTTATGTATCTCTGATATATGCTTCTTAAAACTGTCCAAATCATTGATTTTAATGCCACACAGTCTACAATCTATACGAGTGAGGTCAATTTTGACCATTTTCTTATGTTCGGTCACTTTGAATCGCTTTGGGTTATGCGTATTGAGGGTATGCTGTCTCAAAAGCTCGGGGTCTGAATACAGTTCACCGCAGTAGTAGCATAGTAAGTGGTTATGTCTACACTTGAACGGACAGACGAAGGAATATTCTACTATAGTTAATATGTTTGTCTCTGTCACGTATGAGGAGTCTCTTTCTCGCATGATTTGTTGTACTTTTTCCATTGGTAGTTCTGTGAACAAAAATTTATAAGTTATTGGCTGATCTTATCAAATTCAAAGTCATTTATTTCAATTAGACCATGGTGCTTACTCTTGTAACCAATCTCAATGTCAATGCAATTTCAATCCAATAAAATCTCATTAATTATTCAATGTTAACACTATACAACCCCTATCGTAACTGTTACAATAGCATTCAGAGTCCGGAATATGAAGTAAAACTCAATACAATTTAGTTCATTCAATATCCACGCAATACGGATGCAATGAGCGCTTACCTATATCCTTACTATATATATTATATACTATTTATATATTAATATATAAATATATATATAATATTACAAATCGGAAAGTGAGTTTGTTTAACAGTTAACAGTTTAACCGTATAATATCCAAGCGGTCACCGGTGTCCGCTCTCCACTAACTATAGACCTTATTTCTAATGTTTAGAGACTACTTTTGTATGAACAAATTTAGGGGATGATTTTCAACAGGTTAAATACAAGAACAAAACACACATACACATACACAAGACTGCCTCATTGGCCGAGTGGTTCCATTCCCGGGTCGGGCAAAGTATTAATGGGTTTTTTTTTTAAATTCTGCACCTCTGGATATGTTTAAACACACATCCACACTTTAAAAAACAAATTTCACTTACTTTGCCTCTGCATCATAGCGAGAGATGGCGCTACTTTCGCTTTAGGCGCCGGCGCCTGAGCTTTGACAGAATCTAATGGAGGGACATGAATCTCCACAAATCTATCTGTCTCCTCAATGTGTGGCGTGGCGGGACGTTTTAATGGTTGGTCATCGTCATCGCTTGCTTTATCGTGTTTCAAATCGGGTTCTGAAATTAAAATAACATCAAATATGTAGCTGCCTCATTGGCCGAGTGGTCGCAAGCGCGAATGCCGGACAAGAGGTCTCGGGTTCGATTCCCGGGTCGGGCAAAGTATTACTGGGTATGTAAAAACCTCAGTAGTAGGACGGAGCCTGGAAATGTGCCTGGTATATGGCAATAGGCTCACCCCCTATTACATGGGACTCATAACATAAATAGTGAAAAGTGGGTGTTACATTGTATAGTGGCATTAAGTGCCGTAATGTGCACCTCTGCCTAAACCTTCGGGGATAAAAGGCGTGATGTTATGTTATGTCAAATATATAGCCAGATAAAACAAAGTAGATCATTTTGTTTGAGCCTTTTGTGAAAGTCGAGAGGAGTCATTTGAAGATGACACATCAACAGCCTGTAAATGCCCACTGCTGAGCAATGCCACTTCTCACACGGAGAAAGTTTGAGCATTAATCACCACGCTTGCTCAATGCGGGTTGGCGATTTCAAACTTATAATTAGAAATTATAAGCCCAGGTTTCCTCACGATGTTTTCCTTCACCGTTTGTCAGTGGTGTCTAGAAAATCTTAAAAAGTACATATAACTCGGAAAAAGTCACATTGGTACTTGCCGTTGGTAGGTTTCGAACCCAACCTTCATGCATGAGAAGCGGGGGACCTCCGAGCTTAAATTTTGAAGATATTCTAACAAAACTTTTCGCAATGTAATCACAATAGGGTACTTTCCTTAATCAAAAACAAATTATTTCGACTGTTCAATACAATAAAATATTACACTTTCATTAATTGATTTTATGACCAACTTCATTTTAGTATTTTTTAAGCATTTTTTTACCTAACTGACGAATTACATATTAAAAAAAAATATTTTCATACCCTGTCATAAATTTTTCCATAATAAAAACTGTCAAGAGTCAATTTTAGTCCAGTTATTTGTTGATTGAAAAATCGGCCCTAATTCGGTTAATTAGCATGTTGCTTTACCTGGAGTATCAGCCAATGTATCTGTACAATGATCATCATCACTCTGTTGCATCGGTACTGGTTCAGCTTTTACTACCACTTCAATCCTCGAATGCCACTGGTTTTCTATCTTGGGCTCTGAAAGAAATCAAGATAGCGGTGTATACGCTGTCTGTGTGAATAACGCATTTAACAAAATGCCAACAAGTGGCCAAAAACAGGGTAGGCCCCATTTCATATGTGTCATTTCAATAATACGTTGATATATCGTTATGAAAATTTGTTCATACAATAGTAGTCTCTAAACATCAGAAATAAGGTCTATAATGGAGTTAGTGGAGAGTGTTCACTAATGACCGCTTGGATAGAACAGATATTGTTTTGTGGTGGAAATTAAGATAAAAATTAAATAGTATAATGTTTTAACGTCTGAGTCAGAAGTGGGTTAATCCTAAAGAGGCAAGGGAAAGGTTTTTTTAATTGACTGCTCCCACCAGGGTAAGGCAGGAGGGAGTGTCAGACTCTTACTGACTAAAAACCACCCCGTTCCTTCTCCTGCATGTCGAGCCGGAGCCCCGGTTACCCGTTAAGTTCTACGCGACAAAGGCAAGGTTTAGACAAGCACCTCATAGGCGTCCCTAAATTTTTTGACACCGCCGCTACTCTCTTAGCCATTCTCATGTCTTACAGCACCCCTCTAGAAGTTGTAGCCCTAAACACTTGCCAAGTTTGCCTTAGAGGCAATACGGCTCTGCCCTTATTTATTTATTTAATAATATATGTACACACCAACGGCACAGAGGATAACGCATATATATAAAATTAGAGTACAAAGGTGCTACTTATTCCTGTTGGAATTTCTTCCAGTAGGCCTGAATAGACCATAGGTATAAACAGGTGTCAAACATTCATACCATCAGTCGATGCATCATATATCTTCATCTGTAGGAATGCCTCTTCACATCTGAGCACTTGTTTCCGAAAGCTCAATGCTTCACGTATACGAGACACGCATGTCGCACAGACTAGGCGTTCTGATGGCACTCCATCTAAGTGCGATAGCTGAAGAAGAATAAATAATTATTATTTAGTAATGTATCCTTCGTCACTTAAAAATCAGAGCAAAATCCAAAGCAATTGACGCAGTTTCATATACACTTAAACTAAAGTCAAAAAGACATGTAGCAAAGTTACAGGACAATAGATGGACCAAAATAATTACAACATGGAAAGAACCAATAGGAAAAAGAAAAAGAGGAAGACCACACACACAATGGGATGACGAAATCCAGCATGTGGCTGGAGTACGCTGGCTAGATACAGCAAAAGATTGAGAAAGATGGTCTCTGAAGGAGGCCTTCACCTCAGCTAAAATTAAACTTTATATACAATAATATGTTTTTTGGAAATATTCTTATAATTGGTAAATATAAAGCTTTTTTTATATTTTATTTACTGTTTATTATAATGTATCCTTGCATAGATTATATGTTCAATTGTGGTACTAGTAAATGAGGGCTAAAGAAAAAATAAAGTATTCATAAAAATTTATTTCAATTAGACCAGAAAAGCACTTCTGAATGTTAAAATTTACAAACACAGAAAATATACTGCAACTATTGATCACATCAGGCGTTTTGTTTGTACATGTACTTATTTAATAATTTTTTACCAAGCTATAGTACATAAGACATAAATGTAGATTTTCTCGACAGATTAGCGCTATTGCTACCAAAATAACAATTAAAATCAAAATAAAAAAACTGGACCCGAAAAGAAACCATAGAAGGTCGAGCTAGAAACTTAGTTTGCAGGCTAAATCTACATGAAATCTTACCAGTAAGCCGAAGCAATCCATTATCATATCCGAATAAACCTCTTTTTGGCCTAAACTCTCGTATTCAATGTTCAAAACACGACATTTTTTCATATTTCCACAACATCGACATAAACCGCCATCAAACAACGGTCCTTTGCCCTTTATTGTAGCCATTTTTTAATAAATAACACTCTTCTCTGTTTACATAAATTATATTAATGCTATTTAATTCATTTGCTATAATAATTTTGCTGTTTTACATACAAAAAATCAACATAATTCGTCAAAATATAACTTTCGTCAATAAAACAGGATGACAACTGTTATACTGAGTTGCCAATTCAAATAGGAGGATGGTTTTTTAGCTTTTGAGATAATGTTGCCAAGAATGTTAAAACAATAAGAGATAAAAAAGCGAGAAAAGGTTTCAATCAGTCAATCTCAATAAATATTCCTACTTTACGTTAGAAACGTCTTTTTTTTAAAGGGAATAACGTGTCTAATATTGAAAAAAAACACTTCTGCTGATGTTGTTTATTAGACCAATACTATAAAGATATAGCTAATAATTGCTATTACAACTGCGGGAATAGAACTAAAAAATAATATATTGCAAAATGTGTATTGATGAATGTTTTTAAACTGTCAACACCGAGCGGTCACCGGTGACTGCAACCTATGTCTACAATGACGGTACTCAAAGAGTCAGATCGATCTAAATTTTAAAAGATATCGGAATTAACGCTTTATACAAATTTTATCAAATAAAACAATCATGTTTGATCTAAAAATCTCATATTTATTAACTCAGATCAGATAATTTTACATAGATGGCTGCACACAACGCAAACATTGATTCACGCGGGTTTTTTCAAACCGTGGTATCACTCATATCGAACCAAAACGTTACCCAATCTCATTCAATAGTACAGTCACTTTTACTTAAAGTTACGCCACCGAACACATGTCCATGTTGTCTCCTTAAATGCCTTCGCCACGAATCTTTACTTTTAAACTTACTTACACAATAAGTACAGCAAAAAGATCTTAACTCTTCATGAGTTTTTTCATGGCGTTTCAGGTCACAATTCGTAAAGAACCGTAACTCACACTTTGGACAAGGATAATTCCGTTCCTTTATATGCACGCTACGAATGTGAGTTTTCAAATTTAACGGCTTACTAAATGTTTTGCCGCATTCCGGACAGTTACAAATAGGTCTTTTGAAGCCGTGCTCCTTTATTTTATGTTCGTCAACCATATAAGTGTAAGTAAAATGCTTGCTACACAAATTGCAGTAACGTTTTGAGTTTCTTATCCCATGTGCTTGTCTCAAATGCTTGATACGGGACCCATTTGTCAAAAAAACGGCGGGGCATTTTGAACATTTTTTTTCTTTGTGCTGACATTGAACGTGCATGCTTAGACTTCGACGGTTCATAAAAGACTGCCCGCAAATCTCACAAACATTATTAGGAAAATGGCTGTTCATATGAATGGACAACTTCATGTAAGATTGCAACTTTTCATCACACAACAGACATTGGTAAGGACCGCCATCTTGTAATTTGTATGGCACTAAATAATGCTCTTTTCCACGTAAAGAAATATCATGTTTATTTTTTAGATGTTCAATTAAATCTGTCAGATCATTGCAATTTGCTGAACATTTGTTGCATTTTAGATTTGTTACTTCTGCATTTTTACAATTTATTCCGCGTAATTTACGGACGATCGCAGAGAGCCTCTTAGTGTTTCTATGCGTGTTGTAGTGTTCCCTCAAATCGCTGAAGACTGGGTATTTTAACGGACAGAGCATGCATCCGAATTTATTTCGAAAAGACTTAAAGACGCAAAGATTTGAGTTTTGTATTAATTTCAATGTATTTTGGGCTTTATCTTTCAAATGTGGGTCTGTTTGTTGCTGTCCTTCTTTTTCCTTTATAGCTTGCTTGTGTTTCGCTGGAACAAATTAAAATTACATTTAATATTATTTGAAAAGCCTTTCTATGCTTTTTTTGGTGAAAGACAGATTATATTAATAAAAAAAAAGGTATATTTATATACCTTTTGAACATGATATATAAATATAAAGAGGTCAGTAAATTACCTGCAACACATTTTCTCTTGACCATTTTGTAGCCAGCAACTTTGATATGTTCAAAATCACCTCCATCAACATCATCATCTCCTGAACCAATTATTGCAGCACAAAAATCGTTACTGTTGTCTTCATCATTGGTCATCGCATCAGAAATATCATTTTTTGAACCATGACTCTCTATAGGTACTTGTAAATTCTGTTTCGAAACCGTTACGTTTGAATTTATAACGGTTTTCCTTAATTTCGATTTGAAAGTGTTAGTGCTTTTGAGATCTTTAGTTTTGCTAAGGCTGGCATCAGAATTTTGTATACACCCATTTTCATTTTCTTTACTTGGAAATACTGGTTTTTGAGATGTTTTTGAATCAAATGCTACTTGGTTTATAGATATCACGAAGGTTTGTTCTGAAACAGAAATGAAATTGAATTATGTCGACGCGACGTTACACAACACGTTATATCGTTCGAGTTTATTTTCTTTTTATATTTCGTTTGATAATGACATAGACTCAGTGCAATTACTGAGTAATAATTCCATTAGTCGTAAAAACCCCCAACAATCATTTGCTTGACCTGATAATAATCGATTTAGACACATTGTTCGATGACGCATTTGCGAAGTAGCGACCACACAAAAAAAATGCTTTCTTTTAGACTTTTAATGGCCTTACAAAATAGAGGTTTCTTAATGGGGGCTACTACATACATATATTTTTGCTTGCCAAATGACGCTAGTTTGAACCTCTCGTACTTCGTCCAATAGGGAATCGGATAGTGTTACATCATTGGACGTTCAATATTTGACAGCTGTCGAGATTGGACAAACAGATGTCTTGCTAGATTTGCGCCATTTAGTGAGCACAGAAACGGTAGCCCCGTTCAGACGATTGCACTGAAGAATTGAAGGTTTTGTTGTTAAAGAAGGAGAATAAGAAAAAATAAATTAACAACATACTTAACAAATGTGGTAAAAGATTTATTTTTATGGGGGCGTAAATCATCTAAAGACTTCTCCCGCCTGGGTGAGATGGGAAGGAGTGCCAGACTCTTACTGACTAAAAATCACCCCGTTCCTACTCTTACACTTGGAGCCGGAACCCCGGCAACCTGTTAATCACTCCGCGGCTCCGTATCGGCATCAGCCCTATTGGGCCCCATCCGTGGTGGTCTGATAGCTCTTTGGGGCCGTACGCTCGGGATTAGTTTACGGTAACTTACCTTTCTCAGCACGATTAAAATTGCCGCAATGGAAATAACTGTCCTCAACAGTATCACTTAGTTCTAGGTCGGAATCATCAACAGAATCAGCGTCTTGATATTTCGTACCTGCAATTAAATATTTTAATAACATAACATAACATCACGCCTTTTTATCCCCGAAGGGATAGGCAGTGGTGCACATTACGGCACTTAATGCCACTGTACAATGTAACACCCACTTTTCACTATTTATGAGTAATAGGGGGTGAGCCTATTGCCATATACCGAGCACATTTCCAGACTCCGTGCTACTACTGAGATTTTTAAAACCCAGTAATATTTTGCATGACCCGGAAATCGAACCCGAGACCCCTTGCCCGGCAGTTAATTTTTAATTTCAATTTATTAACTTAATGTATGTATAGGTACTTAACAGATGAAGCTAAACAGTTTGTTTGTTTGAACGCGGTAATATCTGGAACTACCAGTTCGAATTGAATATTGATTGATAAAAAGTAGCCTATATGTTATGTCGCGGGGTCGATTCCCGCACTGAACAACACCTTGTGTGATTCACAAATTGTTGTTTCAGGTCTGGGTGTCATGTGTATGTGAACTTGTATGTTTGTAAACGCACCCACGACACAGGAGATAATCCTAGTGTGGGTCAACGTTTTTTTTAAAAGAAAAAAAAAAAAAAGAATTTTTTTTTACCTAATTCCATGGCCACACGTTCCCAACCAATGCTGCTCCTCATTGCCTCCTGTATACCTAGCACCTTCCTCTTAAATGCTGCAGCGTCTCGGAGCTTGGTGACACACTCCTCGCAAATAAGATTTCTTTGACAGTTGTTAGGGATAATCTGAAAAAAGAATCATTTTTATATTTCATTGGTGCGCTAGTATAAAACTGACTGCATTTTTTTTTAATTCTTTTCCATGCCAGATGTCCAGAAGAATAAGATTTCGCATCAATTACAAAATCATTTATTTCAATTAGACCAGGAAAGCACTTTTGAACGTCAGCAATAGAAATTTATAAGTGAAGCTATTTGCTCATTCCAAGGTATAGATTCCTATGCAGACAAAAGAGCAAGAAACTCCATAGGTTACTCTTTTTCAATCACATTCACAATACAATTCTCCAGTTACACAGTTTTATTGGTTCGATTGTGCTAGAACAATGTAATACCAAAATGTTTCCAGATAAATATTAACTGAGAAATAATTTTGAATATTTGACAAATCTTCTATACTAAAAACTATCAAATGGCAATTTTATTACAGTTAAACTGTCAAACACCGCAAGGACACCGGTGACCGCAACCTATTGTTCTTTAACTCGTCGAGTACCGTATTTATAGACACAATTAAAGAACAATAGGTTGCGGTCACCGGTGACCACTTGGTGTTTGACAGTTTAACTCGTCGAGTACCGGTTTTATAGACACAATTAAAGAACAATAGGTCGCAGTCACCGGTGACCGCTTGGTGTTTGACAGTTTAATTGTGTCTATAATGACGGTACTCAAAGAGTTAAGATCTAACTGATATTATTGAAAAATTTGTTTTTAGTTGGTACAGTAATATGGCCATGTAGGTACCGTTAACATTTATCTGTTAACCCAAAGGCGACTGCTTTACTCGCAAATGTCCAATTATGAAAAATCCACAACATTTGTTCATACAAAAGTAGTCTCTAAACAACTGCGAATAACGTCTATAATGGTGTAATGTAAGTGGAGAGTAGTCACCGGTGACTGCTTGGATCTTGCCCAGTTAACAATATTTACCTTATACCTTAATTATATCCCATTATTATACATTAAAACTATCTGTATTTACAATTTTAGGTAAACACAGCATGTACCTACATCACTTAGAAGTTTATAAAAAAAATCATTGTTGAAATTGATTACAAAATTTTTTTTAAATGAGATCTTTTCTAATATAAAAATTATGCAACGCATTTGTAACTCAGAGTATTTGTGCGACGCCGATTGCTTACCATCGGGTGATCCGTCTGTCTCCTTGTTTACTGACTTACGCCATAAATTAAGTTTTTCGAAAATACTCGGTATTTAAGAATTAATGTAATGGCCAAAGGTAGGTATTAAAAAACACCGTCATCGTGTAAATTAATACTTAAGCAATGCAAGTTTAATATTAATTTATACTTACATCGATATTAAAAACATTCATCAACATTTCGTTATAATTTTCAGTTTTATTTCCGAAATAATAGTCATTAGCCATATCTTTGTAGCATTCTTCTGATAAACAACATCTACAAAAGTGATTTTCTTTCATGATTTTTATTTTAAATACAATAACATTGAGACCTTTTCACTCTTTATTTACTTTTCTTTTTAACGTTCCGCTATGGCAGCTATATTTTATCATATTAAAAGCATGAGAAAGAGACACATTTATACAAATAGTCGTTCATAAAAATGAGACAGAAAATCATCGCTGACACTGACAAACTTGACACTTGACAGTTGGCTGTCAATGCTGTTATTGTTGCGTAACGTTTAGTTTTTCTATGTAGCGAAAACCCAGTAACATTTGGTTGATAGCATACGAATAAACAGGAACAAAAATTACGTTTTTATATGTGATAATTAATTTATTCCTTTTTTTTCCATTTTAACTTGTTTTAACTTGCTAGACAACACAATTTTAACTTGCTAGAGGACAATCAATGCCTTGAACTAGCGCATAAAACTTCGCTTAGTCCTTTTTTCAACATCCTTGCGCTTAGTAACCAACCAAGGACACAACTTTTACTTTTTTGTAGTAGGCAAGTGTGCAATTTTTTTTTCACGTTTAGTTTTACTCGAAGAAGTCGAAGAGGTATCATGTGGAATGGGAATCTGGCCATAAGTGTCCACTCCTGGACCCTCGTTCATTTGAAATCGATATGATAATCGATTACTAATTGTTTCATTTGGCTTGTATTGCAAATGACAATTTACGAAGTGAAAATCCCTGAAATAAAAAAAAATTGAAAAGCATGTCGTGGAAACTTGACTGCAAATGATACTATGTACAGTGTCATATTATGCCTAAGGCAAATTAGACAATTGCTTAGGGTACCATGTTACAAAGAGGTGCCGCGAAACTTGCGTGCCCAACTGATTATAAATTGGCAGCGAAGTCAAATGAAATTAGGGGGTGTCTATGCGATGCTTTAGCCAAAAGAAATAAATGATTGGACGCTCTCTAGGTAGTTATAATCTGTCTACGACTACATACCTTAGATTTGGAAATATAAAAGGTTGTTTCTTTCTCTTATCAATATTTTTGACGAAACATTTCCACCGGCATTGCAGTAGTTCATTCCGTTGCAACGAGTTATTTTTCATGCGTTCATAATCACTTAACCTTTTCTCGTATAGAGGATATACTGGGTTATCCTCTAACGCTAGCTCTTTTGCTAAATCTGTAATTAAAGTGGTTTTTTAAAGGAGGAAAATCATCGGATGACTTCTACGGCCCCGGTGAAGCGAGAGGGAGTATCAGACTCTTACTGACTAAAAGAACTACCCCGTTTCTACTACTGCACTTCTATTGGAAGCCTCGGTAACCCGTGAAGACCTTCGCGGGTCCGTATTAGCTTAGCCATCAGTTCTATTGAGCCCCATCTGTAGTGGTGGTCTGATGGCTCTTTATAGCACGACGCGAACGATAGGAACGCGACGCGCCATACGCTCGGATCTGATTCTGGACGGGCCATATCACCCGTGCTCGCGGTCCACAGGCCCATGCTTACGGTGGCCGGAGATCGTCTCGCGATCCCCAACGACGCCGGAAGTATCTTTCACGACGACTGCAACGTGAGGAGGTTCGTTCCCTTACACACCTCGCCTCCTCTTTAGCTAGCGTATATAATGTAGTCTACCACATAATCTACCATGTAGTAGTACGCTTGAATCTATGATCTATTTTTAATCTATAATCTATCCTCTCGCTCAATGCTCATCCCGTGTAACGGTGTAAGGGTAAATGTTAGTTTTTCCGGCTATTATGACAATAAGCGACGAAATAGAGGACAAACATACATGAGACCCATAAAACCATAAGACCAAGGAAACATAGATATTACATAGTAGGTAGATGAGAACAATTCCATGCTAATGTTTTATAGTAGATAATCTTTGCCAACCGGTTTTCCGTACAGTGAATTGAAGGCGTGGCGCTATGTGTATAAATCGACACATACCATCGTTAATTTCCACTTTCACATATTTGGGTACGATATGATCACATTCAGGCGAGAAATGATTTGTTTCCATTGTTAGCAAAAAACTGATTACAAATTAAATTACTTATCAAAATAAATACAACGAAATAATAATTTATTACAAAGTTAATACGATATTATAAAACACGCAAAGAACGTAAAACCACTTCGGAGAAATAAAACTGACAGTTACATTTTTTAAATTTTTTTTTCTGTGAGCGGTACAAGAAGAATTTAATTTAGAGTTAGACTACTACTTACTTTTAGTCTCTTTGTAGGACTCGGTACTTATTTGATAGAGAACAGGCAGCGGCGACTTCTGTCTGCCAAACTTGGACCCTTTAAGCCCTGAAACCATGTATCGGAGGACCATAGCACAAGAATGGATTGTCACGAGCTAATGATGACGATCTCATGGCTCTTTGCTAAGTTGTGGTTCTTGCTCGTTTTACTTTAAAGTTATGTGCAGGAGCCATGTTTCAACTGATTTTTTTTATGTTTAATGGGCCGACATTTGACCTCTATCTCGCCTGGTGGTAAGCAATGACGTGGCCTACGATGGAGCACGTCGTCCCTTAAGAAACCTATTTACTCGGGCCTTGAGGAGATCCAGGACCCAGGACCCTTCAGAAATCGACTCTGGCAAAGAATTCCACTCGTTAGCAGTACGCAAAAGAAAACTTGAAGCGCTTCGTGCATGTAGGTCATGCGCCTCCACAAGCGCATCATCATTTAATGAGCCTCATGGGACGCCTCGCAATGTGCTCTCGGGCGGGTGCCCAGCTGATATTTTGCTCCTGTCTCACCTTCCATAGGATACCCAATTTCCTACCCCCCAGTCGCGCTTTCAACTCTTATATAGTAGCCAAAGTTGAGCGTGGGCGTTAGAGTTACGCCAAGAAGCTCAAGATGATCTGTTTCCGGAGTGTATACATTCCAGAAAGTAGGAGTCAGCGGAAATTGGATCCGTTTAGCGAGAATAGACACGCCTGGGTTTTGCTAGGGTTGAACTTGACCAAGTTGGCGTCACTCCAGTCGGAGACCGCCTTAAATGACGAGTACAAACGTTTGACCATGTTTTCTCTTTTAGACCGGATCTGTGTTCTTCTAGTCCGCGCATCGGACACATACCTTTCAACAATTGTGCTGTCATCTGCATACCCAAAGATACGGGGCTTAAGCACGTCATTTATGTGCAGCTAAAAGAGCGTCGCTGAAAACACAGACCCCTGATTCGCCTTTATTAATACTGAATTGGTCAGACGCGTAGCCATCGATGACTAATCTTATTGACCAATCCCTCAGGAAGTCTGCTATCCATCTATACAAATCTGCAGGAAGTCCATATGCAGGAAGCTTGCCGATTAGACTGTTGTGCCATAGACTGTCAAAGGCCTTCGAAATATTGAGGGACACTGCCAATGCCTCCCCGTACCCGTCGATGGCCTCGCTAACCATCAGGCGAGATAGTAGGCAAACGAAAGGCAAACGCTAAACGTTATCCTACCACGTATAAAAAAGCCTCCGTCTAAAGAGGTTGGCAACGCACTTGTAATTCCCCCGGTCTATTAGTTATTATCTTGCTTTAGTTATTGTTCCGAGTATCTATGTCAGTTTTTGACATTCACTTTTTTAAATTTGGGTTTGCACGTCAAAGTGTGCTAGCCAAGCTGTCGGGTTTTTATGAATTATTATTTAATTTTGTAATTGAATTTATTTTGCTACTACAATGGCGAGATTAATATTCAATGCATGCAGTGATAAAACTAAACCACCTTTAATTATTAAGCCAACTGCAGGTACATTTTATACAGTCGCTATAACTTTACCTATTCTATCAGATTTTAATTATTTTTTTCTATCACAAAGGTGAAAAAGCGCCGTTAATCCTTAACCCGTCGTGTATCTAAACGTGGATCCACGCGAGATACAATATATTTTCTATTGTGTCTCATATCTGTGCGTTCAAGCGGTTAAACCAAATAGCTTGCCATTTATACCAAGATTAATTTATTTTATTGCAAAAGTGCACTTTAAACTTTGTGGGTCAGTGGGTCGTCTTAGGGGTCGTCTTAGTTAAAACTAAGAAAAATTTTCATCAAAAATGAAAATTCTTATAAATGGCTAGTTTTTCATTTCCATCGCTTAGTATATTTATAATAATAGAGCGTAAATCATCTGGACATCTTTTGTCTAGGACTTCAGGTTCGCCTGTAAATGAGCCCTAAATTTTTGTCCTCGCGCCATAGCGCCCCTAAGGCTACACTCTAACCACTTTGTGTTGTTTTCCCTGAAGTATATAGATGTGTGCTAGCACTAATATAATATACTTTCTTTCTTTCTTTCTTTCTTTCTTTCATTTATCTTCACTAGTACATAAATCTGAAAAGATAGTTTGTTTAAGCCCACTCATCTCGGGAACTACTAGTCCAATTTGGAAAATCCTTTTTGTTTTTCATTTTTTTCGTATACGATGTAAATGGAACCCAGTAGCGGGTAAAACTAACAATTTATATTTTGACTGCACGATAGACTCAATAGCAGCTACCCTACGAGTTGCATAAAATTTATTTATTATTTTTCCAATGAACAGAGGAATTGAAGGAAATAGAAACAAATTTCCGAGTACTGCCGCTTTTCGAGAAGAGTTGTTTTGAAAAAGCAAGAATTAAATACTTATCTATGGACAAAAATGAAAAACTGAAATGTTGTTGGACTAAGTACAAGCAACACTTGGAGACCAGGGATTATGAACCCTTCCATTTTCCAGATATAAGGTAAAACATTTTACGAATTCAACATAGTCAGCAACGCAATCCAGCGGACTTTTTTTTCTTTTTTGAGGTGGGAATATCATCCAATGACTTCTCCCGCCTTGGGTTAGGCGAGAGGGAGTGTCAGAGTCTTATCGACTAAAAACCATCCCGTTTCTACTCCTGCTCTTTGAGCCGGAGCCCCGTCAGCCCGCCTTCTGCGGCTCCGTATCGGGCTCAGTATCCCTACTGGGCCCCATCTGTGGTGGTCTGATGGCTCTTTGAGGCGCGCGCAGAACGCGACGCGCAGTACGCACGGATCTGGTTCTGGTCGGGCGGCGAGCTAATCTTGCTCACCGTTCGCAAACCCGCACTTACGGTGGCCGGAGATCGTCACGCGATCTCCGACGGTCGGAGTGTCTTCCGCGACGGCTGGGGCGAGAGGAGGTTTGTTCCCTCATGCGTCCCGCCTCCTCTTTAGGTAGCATACTCTTTAGGTAGCTCTTTACTACGAATTTAATCGTTAAACGGTAAACAAACTCATACTGTCATAAAGACTGCACGGTTGGTGCGGTGGCTGGGCAACCGGCTGCCGTGCAACGTGTCGCGGGTTCGATTCCCGCACGGAACAACACTTTGTGTGATCCACAAATTGTTGTTTCGGGTCTGGGTGTCATGTGTATGTGAACTTGTATGTTTGTAAACGCACCCACGACACAGGAGATAATCCTAATGTGGGGCAACGTTTATTTAAAAAAAAAATACTAAATGTTCAGAACGCCATCCGATCCACCACAGTCATTCAACCTTTTGCTTCATGCATTTCTAGTTACTATTAGGGTGCGTCCACATAATATGGCGAATGCTCCGCGAATGCGCAGCTTGCGAGCTGCTCACGATCCGCAAGCGCCACATTCGTGGTGCATTCGCCAGATGTATACGCATCCTAATAACGACCCATTTACCAAATGTATAAAAACTCTTTGCAGAGATCTCCACTACAGGAAATATATAATCGAATACTTGCCAAGCGAAAAAAAGTTTAAATTCGACAATAGAATGAAAATGAAGGCAGGACCAGGAGTAGACTATCGGGGTCAGATGCCCATTCCTCATGAGCTCCTAATGAAACGAGGAGGTTCTAAAATTACACAAGAGCGCCTTAAACAGCGACAACCAAAATATGAGAAAAGAAAAGTTATTGATAATGAGATGGAGAAAAAAAAGTAATTTTGTAAATATGAAACTTTTTTGTTTGAATGTAACGACGTCCGCGTTTAGTCGTACCTATTCTGTAAGGGTTAAATGGTTTTATTATATCACGACAGTGGCAAAAAAGCACTCGGCCCATCCGTTGGTTAGTGGTTACTGCGACCTTTAAACGCTTGCAATACTTCAGGCATGTGTATATGCATATATGCGCCTTGCTGACCATTAAAAAAACCTATTTACTCCTTTTTTGATGATCTCTATATATGAGCCTATTGGGAAAACCTCGGCAGGGAATTCATTCCACAAACGGAGGGTACGTGAAAGAAAATTCCTTTGAAACTAGACTGTTAATGGTTGATTGGCTGTGCCTATGTTTTGGTAATTGAATATCTCCTTGGGTGATAAAACTGTATTTCACTTATCTATCATTTGTCATGTATAATCTGAATATCCCCTTGTGTTATAAAACTGTATCTCGCTTATTTATCATCTGACTACACGGTTGGTGCGGTGGCTGGGCAACCGGCTGCCGTGCAACGTGTCGCGGGTTCGATTCCCGTTCGTACAACACTTTATGTGATCCACAAATTATTGTTTCGGGTCTGAGTGTCATTGTGTATGTGAACTTGTATGTTTGTAAACGCACCTACGACACAGGAGATAATCCTAGTGTGGGGCAACGTTTAAAAAAAAAAGATCATCAATTTTAGCTAGCAATAGAAAATACATTTTGACCAAAACTATATGTGATTGTCACCTAGTACCTAGTACATTGGATGTGTCATATTTTTGTCATTGTATAATTTTGTCTCGCAAAGTAATCACGATACCTATTCGAATTTTAGTAATCTTTATTTGTTACTTCGTTTTGTTTGCTTAAGTTCTTTTATTTTTTAAGTCTGTATTTTTAATAGTTGTTATTGTTAGTTAATTTTATTTAGCTTTGTTGTTTATAACGGGTACTTACGTTTAAGTTCATAAAAAATAAATTATATGATTGTTTTGTTTCATTTTGTGATCCATATCATTAACTAAACAAAAATGGCCATAAAGCCGTAGGCTTAAAGTTGAACTGGGCTGGTCATGTCTGCTGCATGGCAGACGAGCAGTGGGCAAAACTTACTACTGAGTGGATCCCACTCAACGTCAGCAGACGTTGCGGCAGGCCCAAAAGTACACGGCGGGACGAATTAGACATCTATGACAAGGATTGGCCGCAAAAAGCTTTACATAACTAGTGTAAGGAGGGTAGGGAGGCCTTTGCTTTACAGTGGGACGATAATGGCTGAAAAAAAAAGGTCTGCTAGCTAATTTATGACACCATTTTTTCAACGTTCTTGTCACTGCACGCACTCCTATAGATATCAAGTTATTCTAAATCTAAAACATCCGCTATGTATGTGTACTTAAAGTATCTAATTTCTTGATTATTTCCCTTTCTTTTTCACATTCTTTTTAAATGTTACAAACTATTGAAACGAAAAGATAATTTGAGTCAAAGAGTTAGAGATTTGAAATAAGTGAGCGTTGAAACTAAACGCAAATAAAAACTGTCAAATAAATAAATAATAAAAGTCAAACCATTGTCGTAATCAATGAACATACAAAAAAAACCGTAATGTTAACTCATTTATTAAGCCAATAAAGACAAAAATAGAAAAGATTTTCGTAGGTATAGAATTTTCTGAACTTATTAATGAAAATGAACCTGGAACGCAACTCAATCTCAATGTCAAACTGTTGTCAAATCTAACAAGATCGAGACCATCACAAAATCATGGATGTTTAATTAAAAATACAATGAGAAACGAAATAATTTAGACGTAAAAGCAAACTTAACTAATCGAAGATGGATACGGAAATAATGGTTGAGACGTTGCCTTTGCTGGGAATGTGCAATTTGTGTTTAAACGAAGGTGCTGTAAAGAGTATGTTGGTTGGTCATAAGCACAATGGAAAATCTGAAGTCTACTCCGAAATGCTGGTCAAATGCTTTTCCATAGACGTAAGTATTACACCAAAGAGTTCTTATTTCCATCAACAACGAAACGTAATTGATAAATTGACGGTCCCGCAAAAAAAAGTAAATAAAAAAAAAATCTTATAAGAAAATATTTTAGCCGCGATTATTCGCGCTAATTTGATTCATACTGGAATTTTAATTAATAAAAATTATAATTTTATGCTTAATATTGCTTGAGGAGTCTGTATATTTACTTGTATATATATAGCCATTCATTCATAGCCAGTTATGTTAATTAATCAGTATCTGTATCATAATTTTGTCCATTGTTTAACTTCCTGATATTAAGATTCTTCAGTAAAATTATTCTACTAAAAAGTTTTTTTTAATTCATTATAATCATCCTTACTAATATTATAAATCTGAAAGTGAGTTTGTTTGTTCCACCTTCACGCCGTAACTACTCAACCGATTGCTTCGAATTTTTGCAGACGTAAAGTTAGAAGTCCGGATTAAATAATAGGGTACTTTTTAACCCGGAATAAATTGATATTCCCGAGGAAAAACAAAATTATTGGTATAGATGGCGCTGTGTGTATTGGTATATTATCACATAGGCTACTTTTTATTCTTTTGTCACGCGAGCGAAGCCGCGGGTAAAAGCTAGTTGTCAATAAAGCAATATACATATATAGTAAAATTGTCTGTTAATGAATTGGTAGTTGCTTGTTTCGTGCAGTAGCTGCATAACTGGCTACTGCAAAATGTATCTCAGGTTCAGATATAAAACAAATGTATAATTTACAAAATATTGGTCATAGACTATTTATCTAAAAACAAGAGAAGTAATTTGTATGGTAAAGGTTACCGGAGGCCCAATTAACCTCCCTTTCCCCAATCTCCCCAATCCCTGAATTCCCAATGATCCTCAAACACCTAATCCCCAAAAAGCTGGTAACGCCTCTGGTGTTCTAGGTGTCCATGGGCGACGCCGATTGCTTACCATCAGGTGATCCGTCTGCTCGTTTACTGGCTTATGCCATAAAAAAAAGGACAGTGGGACAGGCAAAGAATCATGAAATTAATTTGTGAGATGTAATTTACAGATGACCCCTAAGGAGTAGTTTAAACTGTCAAACACCAAGCGGTCACCGGTGACCGCAACCTATTGTTCTTTAATTGTGTCTATAAATATGGTACTCGACGAGTTAAGTAATCATTAAATGTTGGCTTTCCCGAAATATGTTCATGCGTATAGGAAATAGGCAAAGTTATATTAAGTTGAAGAAGTTAGATTAACGTTTATCCAAACGTGTGGCGTGTGATTTATTTTTATTCTGTACGCGATGTTATGTTATCTGTGGTAAATGAGTTTGACTATACATATACATCCTACTTTTCTTAATATAAACTCTAATATTAGTTTCCTTTAAACTATTACATGATTTTGAACCTTCATGCTTTTAACATAACGGTCAAAGTATAACAAAGTACTTTTATCTTAAAACTTTTTTTTTGAATTCCAGGTATCGATCCTACAACTAGGTGATACGAAGCGCTTAATCTGTGAATTCTGTATAACTAGACTGCGAGACTGTGTGCTGTTCAAAGACCTCGTGGAAGTGTCACTCAGTACGTTGGAAAATACATACAAATTACAAAGTAAGTTGTAAAGAAATAAGGTTGCATTTGACTTGGCAAGAACACTCCGTAAATAATAAAATAATACTGAGTCAATGCTTGTCAAAGTTTATATGTAAGAGTGTTCCTACTAGCACAAATGGCAAACACACCAACACCCTCTATTCTGATGATCTAGGCCCTAGATCATACCTTAGTTCAGAATAGAATAGAATAAACTTTATTGTCCTCAATTAACTAAAAATCGTGAGTTACTCTACTAGTTTCGAACCACAGCGCGTCAACATTTACTTTAATTGGTTCCAGTTACTTTAATTGGTTTTTGTTTATAACCGTTGTGACTGTAAATAAATAAATAAGTAAATAAACATTACCCCACCCCCTGAGTGAGGATCGAAGGCCCAATTACCCCACAACCTGAGTGAGGATCGCAGGCCCAATTACCCCACCCCCTGAGTGAGGATCGAAGGCCCAATTACCCCACCCCCTTTCTCAATCTCCCCAATCCCTGCATCCCCAACAATACTAACTAAAATCATGGGTTACTCACGTGAATATACTGAGAAAAGCTCTACTAGTTTCGAACTGTTATGAACAAGGCCCTATTGTAAATTATAACCTAATCAATCCTTACATTGTTGTTAACAAAGAACCATACTTATAAATTAAAATCTAATCAATCCTACATTGTTGTTAACAATGAATTACTATACTTTTAAATTACCACCTAAACAATCGTTATATTGTTACTAACAAAGATCTAAGCACTCTTACATTGTTATGAACAAAGCCCTATACATGTGAATTGCAATTAAAGCAATCGATACATCCTGTGGCACTTATACGCCCAAGTATAATTTATCGACTAAGGGATAACCCCCCACCACTGGCCACATAGAATAAAATATATGTCTTAGTTGTGTATAGAGTCACTTCAGATAAAGTTATTCAACTATTAACACCGTTATATATCACACAGTAATTATTGTAAGTCGAAAGTTGTGAAGTGTAAATTAAAGAAATTATTAGCAGCACTTGTGGTGTCATTTCCAAAAGGGACTCTCGGAGCGCCATCGTAACAGAACGACAGAGGGGTTCTTCCTCATGGGCAGCGTGCGCGGTCGCAGAGTTTTTCTTTTTTATTTCTTAAGCTTTTCTCAGTATATATTTACGTGAGTAACTCGCGATTTTAGTTAATTTAATTGGTTATTTTCTATATCTACATATTTCTGTATACACATTTCCTCATGTTGCTATTACTACACACAGTTACTGTTGTTCCTACATTTGTGCCATTTGCATAGTTTGACAGCTACAAACATAACATAACATCACGCCTTTTATCCCCGGAGGGGTAGGCAAAGGTGCACATTACGGCACTTAATGCCACTGTACAATGTAACACCCACTTTTCACAAGAAAAATTTATGGCGTAAGCCGGTAAACGAGCACACGGATCACCTGATGGTAAGCAATCGGCGTCGCCCGTGGACACCTGGAACACCAGAGGCGTTACAAGTGCGTTACCGGCCTTTTGGGGATTAGGAGTTTGAGGATCGTTGGGGATTCAGGAATTGGGGAGATTGGGGAAGGGGAGGGTAATTGGGCCTCCGGTAACCTCACTCACACGACGAAACACAACGCAAGCGTTGCTTCACGTCGGTTTTCTGTGAGGCCGCGGTATCACTCCGGTCGAGCCGGCCCATTCGTGCCGAAGCATGGCTCTCCCACACAAAAATGTATGTTATGAGTCCCAGTTATTTGACAGTTACTGTATGTTATTATAATTTTTACTTTATTTCAGAAGAAGAGAACCATTCTACTGATGATGGAGTTAAAACAGAGCTGAGTATAACCGCGAACTTTGATGATGACTTCCACAATGTTGATGTTGATGATGACGATGACGATGATGACCCAAGTAAGTCATTAATACATTTTTTTTGTCATAATCCGGTAAACCAGCAGACGGATCACCTGATGGTAAGCAATCGGCTTCGCCCATGGACACCTGGAACACCAGAGGTGTTACAAGTGCGTTATTGGACTTTTGGGGATTAGGAATTTGGGGATTATTACGAAAACGGGGATTGGGGAGATTGGGGAGGGGGTAATTGGGCCACCGGTAACCTCACTCATACGATGAAACACAACGCAAGCGTTGCTTCACGTCGGTTTTCTGCTCGGCCATTATCATTATCATTTTTGAAGCTCTTGACCATTATCATTTTTGAAGCTCTTGACTAGTTTTTAACAGCCATGTTTTTGTTGGTCCCATGAGGTGGAACTTCATGCACCAAGCTCTGTCTGTACCCTCAATGAGATTTTAAAAGAGTAACGATAGAGTTTCTTGCTCGTTCTTCTCCATTCGAAACTACACTTTGGAACGAGCGCCTAGCTTCACTGACGGACAGACGGACTGACAATTCAATTTTTGACGAATCAAAAGTACCTAATTTAGTATAATTTGAAATAAATGTCTTGCTTTTGAGAATTTTAAAAGTTAAAAATCCGTATTGTAACTTTCGTGAGACATACTAAATAAATTATTATGTTTTCGGCTTACTCACGTAACTGATTGACGAGGAACTCGACTAGTTTCAAGCCATGCTAGAGGCTCATATTCATGGGCAGCATTTTGCGACCCGCGACTCGGCAACTCACTGCTACTCGATGAGCCAATACTGAACAATAATTTAAGATGAACAATAATTTAATCAAAAAATCTCTTATAATATTTTATCTGAAGCTAGAACTTTAGACCCTTCGCTCGGTAATTTGATTTTTTATGGAGTAAGCGAGTAAACGAGCAGAAGGATCACCTGATGGTAAGCAATCGGCGCCGTCCATGGACACCTGGAACTCTAGAGGTTACAAGTGCGTTATCGGCCTTTTGGGGATTATTAGGGAAACGGAGATTGGAGAGATTGGGGAGGCGGGTAATTGGGCCTCCGGTAACCTCACTCACACGACGAAACACATCGCAAGCGTAGCTTCACGTCAGTTTTCTGTGAGGCCGTGGTATCATTCGTGCTGAAGCATGGCGAGCCTACACTTACTTGTGATCTCTTATCCAACAACTACTAATAATAACTATAATTTGTTTGATTACAGAAATTAAAGCCGAAATTAAAAGCGAGCCAGACGAATGTACAAGGAAAACTCGTAGCAGATCAGTAAAGAAAATAACAAAATGTGCCGGCAAGAAACATCACGATTTCACAGAAACGGAGTCTATGCTGAAAACTGGGCTGTTCCCCTTCAAAATACGTAAAAACCGCACATTTTCATGTTCCATATGTCCTGAGAAATCGACCAATCTAGACGATATAAAAGTCCATGTTATTGATCACAACAAAACGAACCTACATATGGCGTTCAAAAAGATGATATTCTCAAATTCCCAGCGATTTTACAAGTCCGGTACAAAGTTACGATGTAAAATATGCACGACAGATGTCGCCACTTACGAGGAGTTGCGGCAACATGTCGAGAATTGTACGAGATTGAAATTCTCAAACCGAAGGTGGAACAACTTGCCTTTTAAATTGGAAAAGGACCAATTAGATTGTCCGGTGTGCAAGAAAACATTTTTAAACTATGTAAGTCTAAACACTCATATGAATGTACATTATCCAAATTATATTTGCGAGAATTGTGGGAAGGCGTTCGCCTCCAAAGCGAGGCTGCGTGGCCACATGAGAACTCATGAGGTAGGCAATTTTCCTTGTAAGTATTGCAACGCTACATTTGACCGAGTAACTAAACGAGAGAATCATGTCTCAAAGGAACACAAGTCCGGTATCAGGTACGCTTGTAAACGTTGTAATATATCTTTAACTTCATTCTACGCTAGGCAGAAACATTTGGCTGAAGTTCACAACGAAGAGCTAAAAAGATACAAGTGTAAAGCTTGTCCGCAGAGTTATATAACTCCGGGCCACCTGTCAAGTCATGTACGAAGAGACCATTTGAATGAACGGAATCATAAATGTGATAAGTGTGATTTGGCTTTTTATACGAAGAACGCTTTAAAAATGCATATGATTAAGCACGATGGGGAACGGATTCATACTTGTCCGGTCTGTCAGAAGTCTTATCAAAGAAAGAAGACTCTTAGGGAACATCTTAGGATTCATAACAATGATAAGCGGTTCGTTTGTCCAGTCTGCGGTAGGGCTTTCACTCAAAAATGCACTCTAAAGGGTCACCTTAAGGTCCATGAGAGAAAACCGGACTTGGATGACCGTGTAGTTCCACCTTTGCATTCTATTTAGATGAATTTAGTAATTAATTGTGATTTTAATTGAAATTTCATCTTTATTTTTACGTAGTTAGAGTTTATTTTACAGTGTAGCTATGTTATTTGTTTAGATATCGACTTTATATGTCATGTGATAAAGGTTATTTTAGTTTGATTAGTAATTGTTAATTTTAATAGTTTAGACTGTCGTTACTGGTTTGTATTCGTTAATGCATCTATTAGTCTGTTCTTACGACCAGAGGCAAATTGAACCATGTGAGCGCCCTAAGCAAGCCCCTCATTGGCGCCCCTAATTTTTTTGTCTCGTCATGCTCTATGGGCAGTTGTGCACGCGCGTCTCGCGGCAGCCCTCTGTAACCTGCAGCTGTAGCCAAATGCCATTTGACGTAAATTTTGACACTTGTCAGTGTCATCCCCATACATTTTGATTTCTACTCTCTCTGTAGACAAGCGCTAAAGTGGCGTTTGGCTAAAGGCCCTGGCGCCCGGCACTTGTCTAGTTTGCCTTAAGGATTACCTCTGTTTACGGAAAATTTGGGTCGATGACAAATGTGTTCTACTACACCACTCATAAAAAGCAATATATTCAAGTTTTTTATACAAAAAAAATCATGAATTTGTTTTCCGAAATATTGCACGTGTGACGTGTTGTGATTTTTTTAGAATTAAATATAGTTAAATATATTATATTATTGTTTAATATAATGTACGTACCTATAAATAGTTAGGTATATTTTAGCTAGTTCATAAGTAAGTTATTCATTATATAAATAATTTTATTATATTATACAATAATTAAAATGTATTTAATGGACTATGAGCCTCTCTACATAAGAGGGTTTGCCATAATCTCCGCTGGCAGGTAGGAGATCGCTGTTTAAAAAGGTTCGGTTTTATCCGAGAGCGCTGCTACCCGGACTCTGTGAAATAACCCTAGAAATTACTTGGTACTTAGGTACTATATATAGTTTTTTATATAGTCCGAATGTATAAAACAAATAAAACGGTCGTAAGTTGTCTACGAAGCAGTTAAACCGTGGAACAAAAGTAGTTTATCCTTACTATCCTTACTAATATTATAAATCGGAAAGTGAGTTTGTTTGTTTATTTGTTTGTTCCACTTTCACGCCGTAACTACTAAACCGATTGCTTTGAATTTTTGCAGACGTAAAGTTAGAATTCTGGATAAATAATAGGGTACTTTTTATCCCGAAAAATTGATATTCCCGAGGGAAAAGAAAAGTATTGGTATCGATGGCGCTGTGTGTATTGGTTATGTCACATAGGCTACTTTTTATCCTTTTGTAACGCGAGTGAAGACGCGGGTAAAAGCTAGTAGTTTATATTCTTCATGTCTTTACGTTTTATATGCCTCTTTGATCAAGTTGCTCCATTCTCGGGTTGGGCAAAGTAATTTAAGTTATTCGACTTTTTTAAGGTATGTAAACAAAAAGTTTTTATTATTCTTTGCCTGACTCGGGACTATCGCTCGGTTATAGCATTTGTGACGATGAAGAAAGCAGATGTGATCGAGGCATCAAACTATTAGATACTAGCTTTTACCCGCGGCTTCGCTCGCGTCACAAAAGGATAAAAAGTGGCCTATGTGACATATACCAATACACACAGCGCCATCTATACCAATACTTTTGTTTTTCCTCGGGAATATCAAATTTTTCCGGGATAAAAAGTACCCTATTATTTAATCCAGACTTCTAACTTTACGTCTGCAAAAATTCAAAGCAATCGGTTTAGTAGTTACGGCGTGAAAGCGGAACAAACAAACTCACTTTCGAATTTATAATATTAGTAAGGATGGTCAATGAATACCGGTTTATTTTCTGGTGATGGTAAAACCAGTTTCAGTTTAAAACAAAACTGAAGCTGGTTTTTCACACCTACTACCTCATATGCGAATGTTAATATTTTTTTAAACTAAAAAATAAATCTACCTTTGTTTTACTGTATACATCGAAAGTGCTGCTTATGGCAGGTTATTTGCCGCGGTTCGAAAACTAAATACAGTATTTAAGTTTACCTGTATTTTACTCAAGTAATGATCTGCCATTTTTGGTCTCAATATGGAGTCGAGAGCTTGAACCTGACTGTTCATGTTTGCTGCTAACCAAATGGTGCTAATATAGCGTCAGTTCATATGTCACTGTAGCTGTCAAAAATGTATTGTACAATACCTGCAAAACTATATACGTAAGGTGTTGCTTTAAAGCCGCGTCATTTTCTAGGAGGTAACTCTGCTATCGATTTTGAGTCCGAATCAATAAAAAAAATTGTAGGTAAAGATTTTTCATTTTTCTGTAAATTACGAAAATCCGCAAGTGCGAACTACACGCCGCCGTCTTGTAACTAGTTTTATAGCACGGCTTAACACCCACAAACTCAAACACGTAATTGATATTATTCCTAATTACATAAAACTCCAATCAAAACCATTGCTGTCGCTTATTCTGAAATACTGTAGAACTTAAACGATTTATTATAACTTTACGAAACTTTGTCTTACGTTGAACCATTATGACTTCTGTGACATGCCCCCGAGATATGTCACGGTTTCAAAACTACACCTTGTATATGAATCCATTTTTCCCTTGGTCACGGCATCACGCGTGTATGGCTGGACCGATTTCACTAATTATTTTATTGTTGTATTTGTTATTATTAGGAGAATGTTCTTATGACTTAGAAAAACCTGAAAATCGTACAGGAACGGGAGAAAACGAGATTGCGCGTACGAAATCGCGGGCAGAAGCTAATGGTCAATAATTTTTGCATAAGTGACCTTGTAACACTAGTGATCCTGGCTGTAAATTCACTTGCGGTAGCCTTCATTGAAATATATACGGTCTACTCATGTTATAGTACCTTCTTTACCTCAGGAGCCCCGAAAGACTGACAATTTCTACACGGTCACACCGCTACACTTTGCGCGGCAACCGGCAGCCCCGCAAAGTGTAGCCGGTTCGATTCCCGCACGGAGCAAATCTTTGTGTTATCCACAAATTGTTGCTTCGGGTCTGGGTGTCATGTGTATGTGAACTTGTGTGTTTGTAAACGTACACACGACACAGGACCAAAACAACGTTAAGAAAAGCATTCCAAAAGGACCCCGTATTAATGTGTCCTCAAGAGCCCCAGCGAAGTCTGAGACGGCCCTGGGTACTATTTGAGGAAAGCCCCACTTGTTTCAAGTTGCGGCACCCCGCTTATTTAGAGACCCATATGACTTTAAACTGTCAAACACCGCGAGACACAATTAAAGAACAATAGGTTATAGAATTGATTGATTATAGAATCACGGTACTCAAAGGGTTAAACCAATCGAGCCATTTTCGAATAGTTCACGCGCGGAAACCATTTATTTCAATGAGGGCCTAAGGGCTACAGTGTTTTATCTAATCAAGGGGCTTACTCTTGAATCCAATTCCGATCAATCGACATTGACATTGTGAAATTTCGTTCTCTTGAGTTGCTACACTAGCGCCTATATGGTTACTCACGTGAATATACTAAGAAAAGCTCTACTAGTTTCGAACCACAGAGGGATTCTTCCTCATGAGCAGCGTGCGCGGTCGCGGCGATATCGCGCAGCCTACGAACCCCTCTGTAGTATGTTTCACTATTAGCGCCCATTGCATCCGTATTGCGTGGATAAAATTTAATGAACTAAATGGTATTGAGTTTGGCTTTGTATTCCGTACTCCGAACGCTACTATAACAGCTACGATAGGGGTTGTATAGTTTTGACGTTGGATAATTATTGAGATTTTATCGGGTTGAAATTGTATTGACATTGAGATTGGTATCAAGAGTAAGCACCCAGGTGAAGCAATAATGTGGCCTGCAGTCCTGTTTGTCCAATATTGATTTTTGACAGCTAGCTATCAGTGACTATAAACCTGATGCTTCATTAAATCCCTCTGATCATCACAAAAAGGCGTCACGATAGTAATTATACAAAAACATCATATTCCTTATTTTTTAAAATTAGTTACCTTAAAAAGAGGTGAATTGGGATCGAGAGGTGAATGGAGACTGAAGAGGGGTGAATCGATACTATGAAGAACTTCCCAATATCTATTCACCCCTCTTTTGTCCCTATTCACCCCATTTTACCGTTAATTGTTTTAAATATATTGTTAAGGTTGTAAAATATTGTGCAATATACAAAAATCGTCCTACAGCTGTAGTTTATATAATATAGATTCTAAATATTTATATATATATAAGCTATTTTAAATAGTAAATACATTTTTTCTGTTAATTATTTTGAGCGATTTGTGTAATCGAAAAGAAAATTTGTTTGTAATCATGTGTTTAGGTATGACGCTAAAAAGTTCCTATTTTTTAACGTGACAACGTCTTATAAATTGGTTTGCCGGGTGACACTCCAAGAAACTGCGTTACGCTCCGCTCACGTTATGCGCTCACAATGAGAGCGAGTGAGAGGCACGCGTCCCTTCCACTTGGGCATGGTTAGCCCGCCTAAGAGCGAGAGAGACAGACATAAAAAGTGAAAGGCACGCGTACCTTCCACTCGAGCACAGTTAGCCCGCCTAAGAGAGAGAGAGAGAGAGAGTGAGAGAGATAGGCATACACACCGGTTCATGTCTATACGAATGAATAATCACATTAAAATTATTTTACCACTCAAAGTCGTTGTCACGTAAAACTTTCGCCCGTATACCGACTTTACAGGCAACCAATTTTGTAACAAACTCTTTTATCTTTTTGATCGCTAACAAAATTTCCTCAACTTGTTTCAAGCCACGCTAGAGGCCCATAAATATAATTTACTGGGCGCAACTCTTGCCACATGTCATTGACAAACAAGATATTGAGATTAGTCAGTTATAAAAAAAAAATTGGTTGCCTGTAAAGTCGGTATACGGGCGAAAGTTTTACGTGACAACGACTTTGTGTGGTAAAATAATGTCTCTCTCGCTCTTAGGCAGGCTTACTGTGCTCGAGTGGAAGGGACGCGTGCCTTTCACTTTTTATGTCTGTCTCTCTCGCTCTTAGGCGGGCTAACCATGCCCGAGTGGAAGAGACGCGTGCCTCTCACTCGCTCTCATTGTGAGCGCATAACGTGAGCGGAGCGTAACGCGGTTTCTTGAAGTGTCACCCGGCAAACCAATCTATAAGACGTTGTCACGTCAAAACTTTCAGCGCTACCCTAAGTTTCGAATATACATATTTAGGTCGAAATTAACAGACTTCAAAAAATCATAATTCGACCTCATTTTTTGTAATCTAATATTATTTAGGTGAAATTTGTTGTAGATGCAATTTATACATGGTTCAAGTTTTTAAAGAAATTATCTTACGTTGGTATAATATGACTATATCTTTTTGATTACACAATCACTATGTTATAAGTTGAACCGTATATTAATGTTTTAATTTAAGTTATATAAATACTGATATTATTATATTATATTACAATATAGAATAAAATAACAGTTTATATTTAATTTAGTTGTTGTTATTTGTAGTATTTATTGCACAATTTTATTTCCCCTAGTCCTTTCCATCATCGTACCATAAGACAATCCGCGAAGCGTAACCGATTTCTGGTAGATGTCCCACCCAAACGCACGAAGCGCTTCGCATCAAATTTCCTTGTGCCGGTGCGTACTGCTAAGGAGTGACATTCTTTGCCAGAGTCTATACTTCCTGAAGAGTACAACCTGGGTGTCTTCAAGGCCCGAGTGAATAGATTGCTTATGGGTCGACGTGCTCCACATAGGCCACATCATCGCTTACCACCAGGCGAGATAGTGGTCAAAAGTCAGTCACATCCTTACTAATATTATAAATCGGAAAGTGAGTTTGTTTGTTTGTTCCGCTTTCGCGCCGTAACTACTAAACCGATTGCTTTGAATTTTTGCAGACGTAAAGTTAGAAGTCCGGATTAAATAATAGGGTACTTTTTATCCCGGAAAAATTCGATATACCCGAGGAAAAACAAAAGTATTGGTATAGATGGCGCTGTGTGTATTGGTATATGTCACATTGGCTTTTTATCCTTTTGTGACGCGAGCGAAGCCGCGGGTAAAAGCTAGTCTAATATATAAAAAAAAAATATTTATGCTAGTGCGACTTCTCGGCAATGGTTTTAGGGTCAGATTCTCGTATTTATTTACACGGAAGTTGCTCAGTGCAAAGGCAGAATAAACCAAGACAGCGCCCCAAGCAAGCACCTCATTGGCGCCCGTCATTTTTTTTGCCGCCGTTTTTATAGGCAGTTACTATATGCGCGTCTCTCGGCGCCCCTTTGTATCCGGGCGCCCGCCATTTGCTTAGTTTACCTTTGGGGATAAAACGCCTATTCCATCAGGGAATAGGATAGATGCCTAATTTTTATTTTAATGTCCGTCTGGTACATTATTTTAAATCATTAGACACGTATTTTTTATTTTCTTACGGAAACGAATACTTTCGACGATACATTGATTTGAAATGGCGCTTGACGTCACTTCTATGTACATTTTATGAATTAGAAATGAAGTTTTAGCCCCCTCTTCTAAACTTTGATTCGTTTTATTTAAGTATTATATTATACGACCAAATAAAAAAATACGTGTCTAATATTTTTTTATTACCTAACTTACGGACTAATTAGATTTTAATTTTCATACCCTGTCATCATCCCAATTATAGCTGTTATTTTATCTTATAATCGAGGAATATATGCAGTAATCTTATAGGTATTTTACTATTATATAAAGCTAAAGAGTTTGTTTGTTTTAACGCGCTTATCTCAAGAACTACTGGTCCGATTTGAAAAAATATTTTTCTGTTGTATATCCCATTTATCGAGGAAGGCTATAGGCTATAAAACATCGCCCTACGACCAATAACAGCCGAGCAGAGCGGGCGAAAATAGCTAATAAAACATAAAATTAAGTTCATAAACTTTATTTAATATCACGACAATCATGCGCCCTTTTCATGTGGCGTCGCAAAGAATCTTTGCTTGCGAAACAATTATTGCACTCGGTACATGAAAAGTTTTTCTCGCCAGTGTGTTTTACCTTATGTCTAATAACATCGCATTGCCTAAAGAACATGTCATGGCACACGTCGCACTCATACTTCCTCTCCCTCAAATGTACTATTTTCGTATGATTTGTACACAAACTCTTAGTTATAAAACATTTCGAACAAAATTTGCATTGAAACTCCGGTTGCTTAAAACCATGCTCCCTAATCAAATGTTCAACACGTAAATTCTCCTGGAAAAACCTCTCAGTACAATATGGACAAGGAAATCTCAATTTTCGTTCATATTTCGCATTGTGAATTTGAATTTCGTGTTGCCGCTTCTCCGGCCGCCTTTTAAACGTCATGTCACAATATCTACACTTTATTGCTTTGTGACATCTGGATTTGTGAATAGTTAGCGATAAAGCTGTTGAAAAACCCGCACCGCAAATATGACAAACTTGATTTTGATAATGTTTGTTCATATGAATATTTAGAAGTCGGAAAACGTGAAATTTTTCCGCGCAAATCTGACAGCTCAGTTCCCCGCCAATTTTGAATGGAATCAAAAGATGATCGTTTAATTCAAACGTCAAATCGTGTGCATCTGTCAAATGAGTTTGTAAACTTTTTAAATTCTGTAACGTTTCGTTGCACAGTTTACATTTTAATATCGATATATCGACTTTTACGAAACGATTTTGTTTGTCGATTATTTTTTTCTCGATTTCTTTGAGCGTGTGTGTTATGCTGTGTTCTCTTAATAAATTCATATCTGAAAATGGTTCCTTGCAGCAAAAACATCTGTAACGACTTTTGTCCCATTGGAATATCAAAATGGTTGAATTCGCGAGGAGTTTTAATGAATTATCTCGTAAAATTGGTCCGTTACCGCGCCGCTCTGCTATTTTCGTCCAATCTGGAATAAAAATAAAAACTCGTTAGTTTTATTATGATCTTAAGCAATCTAAACACGTCATAACTACTACATTTATTAGGATCGTGTCTCAGATTAACACGACTGATAATGGGGACTGATATTTAAAATGTTCTATACAAACCTGAGTTATAACTCACCATTATCTATTTTCTTTTTAGTTTTTCTCAATCTAGTGATTTTTATTTCAGTTTCCAAAATGGTTTTCTTCTGTGTTATCTCGTTTTTTACATCATCTAGAAATACTGTAAAACAATAGAAATTGTTTAAAAAATATTTTAGTAAGGTTGAAAGAAAACTACCCACGTATTTGAAGCGCATTTTTTGCGTAACGTATGTACAGAGAACAGACTGTCATTTTGAAATTAGAAACAGAGCACTTGTGTTAATAAAAATCCAAATTAAGATTTACGCCATATTTAAATCTGTTTATTTTATTTATTTATTTTTATTTATTTAACACTTTATGTACAACTGTATACAATGGCGGACTTAATGCCGAATGGCATTCTCTACCAGCCAACCATAGGGTGATGCAGAGAAGTGTTACAGTAGGTTTTAAAAGAAGTTTACAAACGAATTAAGATCTGCAGCATCTTTAGCGTAAGTTTAGACAAGTTTTTTTATGGGATTTTTTTAAGGGGGGAAATCATCGAATGGGTGCTCTCGCCTGGGTGAGGCGGGAGGGAGTGTCAGACTCTTACTGACTACAACCACCCCGTTCCTTCTCCAGCACGTCGAACCGGAGCTCCGGTAACCCGTTAGGTTCTCCGCGACAAAGGCCGGTAAACGAGCAGACTGATCACCCAATGGTAAGCAATCGGCGTCGCACATTGACACACGCAACACCAGAGGCGTTAAAAGTGCGTTGTCAGCCTTTTGGGGATTAGGAATTTGAGGATTGTTCCCCAACACAAAAAAACCGTGAACATACGCTTACCATCATCATCATCTTCATCATAAATATCATCAGTAAACTCCAGATCTGGTGGTTCATACTTAATGTCATCTGATTTGACATCATCCGTTGATGCTGAAAATAACACATAACATAACATAACATCACGCCTTTTATCCCCGAAGGGGTAGGCAGAGGTGCACATTACGGCACTTAATGTCACTGTACAATGCAACACCCACTTTTCACTATTTATGTTATAAGTCCCATGTAATAGGAGGTGAGCCTATTGCCATATACCGGGCACATTTCCAGACTTCGTGCTACTACTGAGATATTTAAAAAACCCAGTAATACTTTGCCCGACCCGGGAATCGAACCCGAGACCCCTTACCCGGCAGTCGCACTTGCGACCACTCGGCCACTGAGGCAGTCTGAAAATAACATGAAAAATATACCTAGAGTGTGCTGTTTATTTTATACTTGATGACCTTTGACCACCATCTCGCCTGGTGGTAAGCGATGATGTGGCGGACGATGGAGCACGCCTACCTATGAGCAACCTGTTCACACGGGACTGGACTTGTTAAGCACAAATCTCGAGAACAGCTGAGTGCCAAGCACGAATAACTATCGCATTCGTAACTTAATAGAATCGCGTTCGGTGTTCTGATTGGTCGGCTCCAGTGAAATAACCCAATAAATTCAGTCTTAAACTGTCAAACACCAAGCGGTCACCGGTGACCGCAACCTATTGTTCTCTAATTGTGTCTATAAATACGGTACTCGACGAGTTAATGGTCACTTTTGCTAACCACCTTTTCTTAGAAATATAATTTTTGAAGTATGCTTGATTCTTTTTCTTTAGTTTTTCTAAGCATTTCAGGATAATTGAATAAAATATATTCTCAACCACTTAAAACTGTGACTGAAAAACTTAAGGCAAGTACAAATTTTTTTTTTTAAATAAAACATTGCCCCCACATTAGAATTTTCTCCTGTTTTGTGGGTGCGTTTACAAACATAATCACATTACACAATGACACCCAGACCCGAAACAACAATTTGTGGATCACACAAAGTGTTGTTCCGTGCGGGAATCGAACCCGCGACACGTTGCATGGCAGCCGGTTGCCCAGCCACTGCACCAACCGTGCAGTCAGATAAACCGTGAATTGAGTAACAAACATACACACAAACTCACAATCGTTTGCATTTATACTATTAGTATGATAATGATGTGATACCTATCTCCGGTTCCCATTTCATACTTCTAATCATCTGTAAATAATGTTCTTCATTTTGTAATACCATCTGTTTGAATGTTCTTGCATCTCGTAACCGTGTGATACATGGTTCACATATATAGTGTTTTGTGGTCTGTGGCACCTCTGTAACCTGTAAGTAAGCATAATAATTTTTTTTCTTACAATATTAGCGGTTTAAGTAATATTTGAAATATAGATGAAACATTTTATGACTGTTGCCTAATAGACGTAAAAATAAAATAGTTACATAGGTAGTGCACCGAAAAAACTGTTTTCTTTTAGTTCTCTTTGCAATTTAAAAATTATAGAACATTTTTGAAAGTATTGCGTGAAAATTATCGGTGCGAAACAAAAATCGTTTTCTTTTTCAAAGATTATCAATGAAAACATTTGGAATCTTACTTGAATATCAAATGTAGACTTTAACATATCTTCATAGACTTCCTTTTGTCCAGAATTATAATATTCCGATGACATATTTTGAAAACAACCAGAGTCCAAACAGCATCGGCAAATAACGCTTGATTGTATGTCATCCACTACGTTTTTCATCTCTGTATCCATTTTACAACGAATATATGACTACTTTATACGATTTCTCATGAACAAACGGTAACTTTTAATTGATAAATTAAATTTTTTATATTATTTTAATTCATTAATCGATCACTCAGAACCTATCAACAACTTTTTTATTTACATCGATTTTGACAGATTTTTTGACAATCTGTCAACAAACGTTCCATCCTTTGATTCAGATTTAGGTAACATATTTAGCATAATTATATTATGGCCTGTCAGACGATTCTATTCTGACTTCGAGGTCCGGAGTCTAGGAACTAGAATTAAATCTAGAATAATAATTTAATAATGAATAATAGTTGCAGTTCCAAAGTTGAAAGGAATCGGTATATTGTTATTATTTTGAATATTTTTAATTGCCTCTCTTTTTTCTGCAGTTTAAAAAGATCATAAATAATACAAATAATAATGTGTCAATCATTTCTTCCAGATTCTAGTCCGAAAAATAATACTATCATACTATGTATAGGGGCAAAGGGGCCATGGGCCATCCCAAACAGTATAATAAGTATAGCCAGGCCTATTACAACAAAAACTGAAAAATAAAACCTCTTTGATAAACTTGACACTGAAGTGTAATAATTAAAAAAAAACTAAATTCTTACTAGCATCGCTGTCGTAATTTCAAATAATTTGAAGTTCACTGTCACTGTTAATATTTTGTTAATTCTCCAATTATTACTTGTTAATTAGCCAAAATGAAGGGAGCTTATCCAGAATGTACAATGAAAAGAGGATCTCCCGAACGAACGGTAGATCGAGGTAAGAAGTACAAACTTCTTGACAATCACACATACTTTGAATTCTATTAGCAAGTCTTGTTCAAGTTCCAGCATTACATCAGGGCTGGAAATTCATCAAATGTGTTCACAGCGTGACGGAATAAAGACTCTTATTAACTACATACATAATACGGTACGGCTAAACGAATAGTACCGGTGGCCTGTGACATAGGTAAACGGTGCACAATGCATTGTGCAGTGCACAGTGTAGCCGAGCCAGTACCTATCTTCTTACTACGTCAACTGAGCACTCTTACATTGCTATAAAATAATAATAAAATATTCATCTTCATCTTGCAGAATTCGCAGAATCTGTCGGCAAGAATTTCCGAGTCCTCCCAATGTTCGAAAAAGAACTTTTCCAGTATAAATATAAGAAACATTATTCTTTGACTTCCAATGAGTTACTTCAGTGTAGATGGCGCTCCTACGTCCAAAACTTTGATCAACGGAAATTTGAACCTTTTACGTTTATTAGTGTGAGGTAATAGCAGTAACTAATTGTTTATTTTAAATATATTCCTAAACCTTAAATTCTTAAAAAACTGACAACGCACTCGTGGTGTGGGCGTAAAACTCAGACGTATAAAAGTATATAATTATGTCTGTCGATTGTGTGGTTGTAGTGACTAGTAGGCCAGTTTGCCGCCATATATTATTGAGATAACTCAATGCCCTACATCATAAAAAATAACTACATCGTTGGGCGAGTGCCAGTGTCGAACAAGGGATTTAGGCTACAAATATTAAAGATAAAGACATTTATTTGCGTTATTTAACACAAATGTGTAAAAAAATATTATTTCAGAGATTTTCACTTCTACAATCAAGACAATCGGCTCATTCCGTCGGAAACTATTCATAGAAAGACTGATTTCCGATTCAAACTGAAGGAAGGACCCGGTGTCGATAGACGAGGACAAATGCCGATTCCGCATGAGTTACTCATGAAACGAGGCATAAAAAAATCTGAAACGAAACCCAAAAATTATTCAGAAGCAAAAATAGTTAAGAAATTGGAGAAAACGCCTGAAAAGGCTAAAACAAATTAGTCATTTTTGACCTGTCACTCTGACATTGACACTTAAATGCGCGGGAAAAGTAATTTATTGAGTAGTAGATTAGAGATTTTTTAGTCTACAATTATTTTTTAAGTTTTATTTTTATTTGTAATAGATTTCAGTACGTTTATGAATTTTAAGTTTTTTCTAGCTAGATCTTTAGTTTGGTATTTAAATTACCTACGTATTGCATGTAGTTTAAATAAATGTTATTTAAAATTATCCTCACATTTTATTTCAACATTAATTTACTTAGGTACTTTACTTCATTGTGGTATAATCGCAAGTGCGACTGCTAAGCAAGCGGTTTGATTCCCAGGTCGGGAAGGATATGGTGGGAAGTGGGAACGAACCTTCACGTGTACCTACGTATTGTAACTGTGACTGAACGCATTTATATAGGTATCAATAATGTAGCATTTACTTATTATAAAGGATAAGCTGAAAAATAACGAAATTTTCGTCAAGGGCCTCATAGTTTATCTGGTGAAAAGCGGTTTATTTTGCATGAAATAAATAAATAAATAATTCATTTATAACATTGGACAATGTGCACCTCTGCAGAGGTGGATAAAGCAAAGAGAGCGCCCCAAGCAAGTAACTTGTAGGCGCCCCTAACTTTTTTGCCGCCGACGCAACTCCGTGGGCACTGCCCACTGGGCAGTTGGCCGCCCTTTAGAGGTAATACGGCATTTCTTTCTTTATTTCTCCTTGGTCGAGGGCAGCAGTTACTTGTTCGTTATCGGGTTGAACAAAGAATTATCAAGTTCTAGACCGTTTAGTGGAGCAATAATAGAAGAAAATGAAACAATTCTTTTTTATACGGATCAACTTTATTTTACGAAATAATTAAACAAAATAATGAACAGCCATATTTTTGTAAAGAAACCCTTTGTTACCAAAGAGTTCATGAAATTACGATTATAATAATTTAATTAAAAAAACGTTACAGGGCGCCATATTGAATTTTGTAGCGATTATCATAAACGTCAGAAAAAGGCGCGAATAATTGACTGGATACAAACTATAGTGGAGTATAAATGTTTTGTTATCTAAATATAAAGAAGATATTACGCTTAATCACTAATATTTTTGTACAATAACCTACGGGAGTAGCTAAATAACGTATTTTGTGAACTTGGTTATCAATTTAATTCCAATTTAAACGCAAAAAAGGAACATGATTACATTTATTTTATTCTATTACAATATTTGGATACGCCATATTTATTTTTCGATGTTTTTTTTCACTTATGTCAAAAAGGTGTAATAGACAATAATGTGTGTTTTTTTTAATAATACATGGCAAAAGAAAGAGGTTATAGAAAAGAGTTTTATTGATTGGCTTAGATGTCGATGCCAATGAGTTTCTTGTCGAAGATGAACTCTCCGAGGGCACCGTGGCGGTCGAGGAGTTTCTTGAGGGTGGAGGCTTTGCCCGCAATGTCGCGTTGTCCCTTGTATTGCTCCTCCAAGAAATCTCCAGTCAGGTAGTCGACCAGCTGTGAAAAATTTTTTAGAGTTAGTATCGAAATGCGCAGGTCATCATCGTAGAATACATTTGTCATCACCCCTATTCATCCCGCGGATCTCGTAATAGCCGACTAAGAGACTAAGCCTTTAACAATATTAACACTGAACCTTTACGAGGTACGATCTTTAAACATTCGCCAGACGAGGAGATTATGCTAAACTCCTCTTATGTAGAGGAGGTTCATTATAATTCAATAATGGACTGTCAAGCAGATGCTAATGAAACCTAGAGAGGCCCTAGGCAAGGACCTCATAGACGCCCTTTATTTTTTTGGCACTGTCGCCACTCTGGGTGCTTACGTCTCACGGCACGTCTCTGTAACATGCAGCTGTAGCCAAATGCCATTTAGCGCATGGGCCTTTAGCCTAACGCCACTTTAGCGCTTGTCTACAGAGAGAGTAGAAATCAAAATGTATGGGGGTGACATTGACAAGTGTCAAAATTTAAGTCAATTCCATATAATTTAGTTTTCTGTTCTACAAGTAGACAAGAGCTAATTTCGCTACAGCTGCTGGCGACCTAAGCATTGCCTGGTTTTGAGTCACACACGACACAAGTAACAATTCTGGAATGAAGATATGTTTAAAAACTCTAAAGTAACTTACGTGGTAATCATTGAACTCGCTGTCATCCTCGCATGCCTTGATGACGTTCCTGATGCTCTTGGTGACGGCGCTCTCCATCAGCAGCGCGTGCTCCAGGGCCTCTACTCCACCTTCCCAGGTCTTACGTTCAGGGGCCTAAAGACAAGACAAGGATTATTAGGTTCTGCTAAAAAGTATCGGATCAAAATTGCAGGTTTTTTTTTTATTAAACGAGTATATAATATTAATCACTAGCGACCCGCCCCGGCTTCGCACGGGTGCAATATGTATATACATACAAACCTTCCTTAAGAATCACTCTATCTATTAAAAAAAACCGCATCAAAATCCGTTGCGTAGTTTTAAAGATCTAAGCATACATACGGACATACAGCGAAAGCGACTTTGTTTTATACTATGTATTGATATTGATTATGTTTTTCGGCTTACTCACGTAATCATTTGACGAGTCGATTGGTCTTGGAATGCTGCTCATGAATTTGAGCCTCTATCACGGCTTGAAACTAGTCGAGTTCCTCGTCAAATAATTACGTAAGTAAGTCGAAAAACATAATAATTAATTTAGTATGTCTCACGAAAGTTATAACATGAGTACACAATTATTTCAGACTACGAAATTTGATTAAGACTAACTCAATAATACTTTGCCTGATCCGAAAATCAGACCCGAAACCCGTTCGGCAAATGCAAATACCAAATAATTTGTTTTTGATTACGAATTTGAAGTGTTCAAAGTCCAATTACTTGCCAATGGCGTAAAATAATAACAGATTTACAATAAAAAAATGTCTACGAGCATTGATCTAGTTTTTTGACAGTAGTTTAGTAGAATTCCAATAGATTGTTTATAGGATAGGACGGCAAACAAGCAGATGAATCACCATGGACACTGTACATTGAAACACCCTTGGTAGGTCATTTCTGATATCGAATTCTTAGTTAAGGAAACTCCGTTAAAACTAAAGCCTGTCAAGTGTCAACTTACCCTGACTTGCAACAAAGTAGTGACGTCAGTGGTCAGCTCTCCTCTCATGAGCAGATACTCAATCAGCTTCATAGCATGCTCACGTTCCTCTGATGCAGCATCGAAGAACATCTTGGCAAAACCTGGACGGTTTACCTGGAGACAAACAGTCATTTATTTATAACCAAATACAATACAAGCAAATTTTAGAAGGGTTTTAAGGGATAGAGGGCAATACGGAGCAACTGAAGGATATGGAGGCGCGGAAGGATACGGAGCAACGGAAGGGTACGGACTAACGAAGCAGCGGAAGGGAACGGAACAGTGGAAGGATTCGGAGCAACGGAAGGGTATGGAGCAGCGGAAAGTTGCGGAGCAGCGGAAGGGTATGGAGAAGCGGAAGGATACGGAGGCGGCCGATGCCGGCGCTCCAGCTAGAAGAGCAGGAGTAGGAACGTTATTAGTCAGTAAGAGTTTCACACTCTCTCTTGCCTAACCCAAGGCGCGTGAAAACATAAGATGATTTACGCCCCTAAAAAAGGATAGAAAGCAAACGGGCAGATAGGGTAGAGCAACACAGTACTAGTGGAGCGAGTTGCCCACCTTTTTGGACGAAGTGGGGGGAGGTTGGACCTTCGGAAACATTATACCCTTTCAAAACGTTTACAAACTACCGGACAGATCTTCGTTTGTTATTCAGCAATAGATAGTATGGTTCCAAGGGGAAGATTTAGGATTTTAGATTTTACTTCAGCACGGTTTTACTCGCTGCTCAGCTTCTATTGGTCCTTTCTATCGAGAAAGCCCCGAGTGAATAGGTTGCTTATGGGACGACGTGCTATATCGTAGACCGCATCATCCCTTACCACCAGGCGAGATAGTGGTCAAACGTCGTCCCAACGAATCTCGTTTCCCGTTGTCACGCCATAACTTGAGAACGGCTAGACCGATTCGGCTGATCTTTTTTTTTTTGTTGTTTGTTATTGTCAGGAGAAGGTTCGGAAATCGGAACGGGAGAAAACGGGATTGCGCGTACGAAGTCGCGGGCAGAAGTCAGTATAATATTTTACTTACAACATCCTTAGAGAAGTGTGCGCCCATAGCCAAGTACTGCAAGGAGGCGGTGACCTCCATCTGTATCTGCTGTCTCACCGACATTCGGCAGTTGCGGTGCATCGTCACCCATTCTTTGGGAATCGTTACCGGGTTCACATGGCCTAAGGACAAAGATTTAATAAAAATGTTATATATTTGTTTCTTTAATAAATAGGTGGGATGTTTGTCGGTATGACAGTAAACATCTGGGGGCTTACTTTTGAAACTTCGCTCTCACACTAGCGCCCATTGCATCCGTATTGCGTGGATATTAAATAAACTAAATGGTATTGAGTTTGTCTCTATATTCCGTCTACTCTGAATGCTATTTCAACAGCAACGGTAGGGGTTGTATAATTTTGACATTGAATTATTGAGATTTTATTTTATTGAAATTGCATTGACATTGAAATTGGTTTCAAGAGTAAGCACCCTTGTCTATTGTTGTGTAATTATGCTATTTTGTAGTCAAAGTCAAAGCATTTATTTAAATCAAACCATAATTTGGTACTTTTGAAACGTCAACAAATACAAAATTAAGTAATAATCTGTCAGTCAGTGAAGCTAGGCGCTCGTTCTAAAATGTAGATTCGAATGGAGAAGAACGAGCAAGAAACTCCATAGTAGGTATAGTAGATTTCAAAATCGGAATAATTAAGTAATATTACATTTTATCTTATCAGGAAAGTGGGATCGATGAACAGTTTCCCTAAAAAGTACACAAGTATCTTAATGTAATAAGAATTTTGCAATCTTGATTTACATTCAGATTAAGCATGCTCATTAACTATTTTATTATTTAGATACTACCTACCTAAATATAGTACCTACACAAGCATTCAAAACGTGGCGTGGATCTTCTTAGAAACGTCAAACGTCATATTTCAATGAATCGTTGTACATTTTTGTTAATTCCTCGTAATCTCAATTTAATCTCTATCTAACTTATTTTAAACAGTGACATAAGTCAAATACTTCTTGATATTTAAAAATAGACGTTAATTCGTCGGAATACAGCCTTTAAAATTAATATTAAAGGCAATACTTTGCAGGCAGATCTTAGATTAAATATCGAACTTTGTTTTTGTCTCTTCATCACCCAAAGGTCTGGCTGGAAGATAATGTTCATGACTCCATGGCATTAAGCCCACCTTGGACACAAGTATGTGCATGAAGCCTTTTAAAATAAAATAAATAAATAAAACCCCTATGTAATTCTTTGGAATCCAATTTGATGATATCTTAGTCTTTTATTTGGTTTTTCGTTAAATCAACTTTTAAAACAACGATTAAATAAATAAACTTAAAAATTCAGCTTAAATCTAAAAAAACAGAATTGCATTGTTCAAAAACATTCTACTGTCCAACAAAAAAAAAAGGTTACAAAGCATAGACAACTAGGTACTAGGCGAATTGTTACAAATACTTAGACAAAATAAATACACAACTAATGACAACTAATTTAAGGCATTACTTAGTGCTTAAAAACGTTAATTTATTTTCCTCCAGGAAGTAAAAATTACAAAAGAAACTGAGGAAACTAGTCAACACATTTTATTTTTTATTTAAAACAACTGCGACTTAAAATGGTAACAAAGAGGCACAACAATGAGTTTCCTTTGTCATCAATTTATTCAGAGTACAAAGGTCAATGCCCATTGCCTTGACAGTTTGAAAATGGCGGCAATTTATAATTTCGTAATTTGTTTTCGTATTGCATTATTTGCAAGTTTGGTGTTTTGAAGTCTGTTTTATACATTAGAATTGCAAATTCTATATTTATTTTGAACTTGGTCATATAACATGCCTTTAATTCGCAAAGAGCATAATAATATTCATCGCATCGAATGTTAATAGAGATGAAGCCTACGTAATAGGGGGCGAACCCATTGTCATTTGCGGTATTGCTGTCTTTCCGTAAGTTGATGTGTGTGTTATTTAATATACTACTTAATAAACTATAATATTCTTTCCTAAAATAAAATAATAAGTAATTTTGCCAAACACTCGAACCTCTATTGAGTTAAGAGATCGGTCTTTATTATATCTATTATCTATCTCTATGGTCCTTTTTATGGGCGTTGTTTTTTTTTAAGCGGGGTAAATCTTCAAAAGGCGCATATCTTTTTGGGTATAAAACACTAGTGTCTAGTAAAGGGAGTGTGGGATTTTTAACTCACTAAAACCAAACCGGTGGCCAGCTTCAGTAGGTAGGTACCTGTAAGGGGCACCGGGTTCTTTAACAGGCCTATCCTGGACACCCCAGAGTGCAACGCCTGTAATATCTTTACCGTCTACCTCATAGTAAACTCGAACGAACGGAAATCGATAATTTTGTTGCGTATTTTTAAACAAAAATAGCTTTCCACTTCAGGAAACGGATTTCCATACTAGAATAAACATCGGCTGTAGAAAATATGGATGAAACGAGTGTGAAAAATTCAATACCTAGGTTACATTTATTTCGTAAACATTATATTGAAAAGAAACGAAATTTGGCAGTTTGTTTGGCAAATAGGGTAGATGACTAATTTTCATTTTAATGTCCGTCTGGTAGATTATTTCAAAACATTAGACACGTATTTTTTTATTTTCTTACGGCAACGAATAGTTTCGAAGATATATTGATTTGAAATATCGTATGACGTCACTTTGAGTACGATTTATACTCTAAAATGATGTAGCTACCTCCCACTCCTAAATTTTGATTCGTTTTATTTAAGTATTGTTTTCTTATACGACAAAATAAAAAAATACGTGTCTAATATTTTTTCATTTCCTAACTGACGGACTAATTAGATTTTTACTTTTCATACCATGTCATCATCCCTATTGCATGATCTTGACTGTTTATAAACTAATTCTCAAAAACTATAAATATATTTAACTAAATCGGTTCCATACAGGGGAGGGGGGCGTTTTCTCTAAACACCCAAACCCGGGCACGAAGTTACTCGAAGATTCAAAAGTCATTGAAATATTTTTGGCACGATTTCAAATGTTAAAATGACATACTGTTCTGTTTATTTATATATACAGACTAATTACAATGTAAAGCTTTATTTAGACAAACAGATAAAAGGTACAAGGGAAAGAGAATAATTAAATAAACAATGCTTAACTAATTTTGAAGATTTTAATTCTTTAAAGTTAATAGTGAAGTTCTTTTTTTTATATTCTTTATTTTTATCTGTAAGTTTTAGGATTTAGGAAACGTCCGCCATTTCAACAGCATGTTGATAAAAAACCATAGATGCGCAGTTACGTATTGTTTGCGTCTCAACTAGATGGCGCTAATTGCCTTTTTTCTTTTGTAAATCATCAACAGCCCGTGCCTCTACTTTTAATAACTAACAGCTTAAATCCTTTTGATTACATGTTTACTCATTAAAAAAAGTTGATAACATTCATTCATAATATTATTACAATGTTCCAAATCACCAAAATGATTCATGTGTACGATAAAACAATTAAATACTATATACAGTAGACATGTAATCACAATTATCTGTTTGACAATCACAAACAAATTGACACACGCCGCCATTATCTATGTTTGATGACAACTTAAATGTGTGTTGTTAAATTAGGTTTAGGTTTTGTGTTTCAATTAAAATTAAAAGGAGTTGAATGAAAATTGATTTACGAGTTCTATTGGCTGTAGTAGGTAGCATGATGATTTAAACTAGCCTTCCTCGATTAATGGACCGTTAACATAATAAGAATTTTCCGATTTGAACTTGAACCATTATTTTGGGAGATTATAGCACGTGTCTGCTTCTTATAGGTCATAATCAAAATATTAATAATCCTATCCTCTTCTTAGACCATTGTAAAAAAAACATCTTTTTGGAAAATAATCCTACTCTGAACTCTATAGATTAGTAAAAAAAAAAATATTTTTCGTGAAACACATTCAAATAGGTCTCTAAAAAAAAGTAAACTTTTTTAAGTTGTCTATGATAATAAACGAAAAAAAAATTAGGAAAACAACTCCAAAGTACTTTAAACATAAAACAATCATAAACATTACATTGTAATTGTAATACTTAATAAAATACTTTAAACTCAACAGCATACAGTTTATTTCTAAGATATCTAATCATTTGATAGGTATTCATGTTTCTAGACACGTAAATTCTTATCTAGCATACGAGACTCAATTGACACTTGCCACAGATTATAAAAGATTATTTCTGTACGTGAGATGCCACCTAACTTTGATAATATTAATAATTTTATTGTGGCTGCTATAGACAGACAATTTAAAGGGATTTGTGCATGAGTTGCGTTTTTTTATAACCCGGAATTGGTTTATTATATTGCCTAAGTTTCTAGACGTTTTGACTGGAAAATTTATGAAAAAAAAATAAATATAAGAATAAGTAAAAACTAATAGAAAATGAAAGAATAGCATCCAATACAAGTTCAAGTTGACGTACAACTTAGCAATTGCTTATTTAAAATCAATTACTATAAGACTTAACGACCGATTTGTGCAACATCACCTTCGTTTTCCAAATAAATTTTAAAATCGATTACGTAGATACTAATCGATAGTAAAACAATATACCGTCAATCAAAATAATGCATTTTTTACGTAAATCAATGTAAAAATCCACAAAGATAAAGATTAATTCTTATTATTATTTGTCTTAAAATACATAAAAATAATATGTTCAGTAAATCCACGTCATGTAACCGCTCAGAAGCATAAGAGAGAGTTTCCTAAAATTCCGTCAGTTACGGGAAAATTACATAATTTTTACACACAGTAATGTCGTGGATAGATGCATAGAAGCCGAAATTAGTTTTCGACAGAAATTCTACAGAGGCCTTAGTACGAGTTTCTTTTACGTTGAAAGTAATCGAAACGAGTACGCGTTCGGCGCTGTGATTGGCCGGCTCCAATTAACCAACCAATCAGAGAGCCGGACGCCGTCTCGTTTTGATTACTTTAAACGAAACAGAAACTCGTACTAAGCCCTCAGAACTAGTATCGAAAATCGGTTTCATTAATTGGAACAAAAATTCTGATCTCAATTTACAGATTTCTATAGAACAAAATGTCAAAAACCGTTCACAATCCACAGATTTCGATTGCCAGTTATTAATTTAAACAGTATAACAATGAAGTCAATCTTTAACCAATTGAGGCTTGAGATTGAGGACCCCCTATGCTCTTTAGGGTCATTTTATAGGTTAACGGCCAGACGGATGCATGAGCACTTGAGACAAGAAGACTATCCGTTTAAATGATACGTTAGTTATGCTATTTATATCTCAAAATCAGCTGGACATTTATTGATTTTGTATTCAAACTATTATTAAGTTGTTATTAGAACATTGACATACATTTACGTTCTAGTTTAAGTACTTGGATGTTGTTCTAGTTAGTTATTCAATATCAATAGGTAAAGCATTTATGTCGGTATATCAATTATACATATAAATGGTTCCTTTTGAAATGCCTTAGAAAAAAATTGTTATAGAAAAACATAGATACTGTGTTAAATTTAACTTATTTAGCAACAACTCGCTAATAAAATAGCGGGAAAAACAATGTTTCATAACTACCTATGGATAGACAAACGTATATAACTAATAGAAAAAAAAATATTAATCTCTGACGTTGTCGTTTAATAACTTACAAAAAAAAATCAATTTGATTTGACAGTTCTTTTAAACGTCACCGAACTCTATCAGTAAAACATTGATGGATTTTTTTTTCTTTACTGAAAGGCAAACGTGTCTCCAATATATTGTCGACTATACTGCCAGTGTTTGATTGATTTAAATTCGAATTGTTTATTGGACTTTGACATTACTGTCAATAACATGTTTAGTACCTAAGTCATTAATTAGAATCTGTTACGTGTGCCCATTTAAATGTAACACAAAGATTATATTTTATTGGAGATTATACCTCTATTGTACCATGACATTAAATACCCTATATTATAAGTCGCAGCTAAGCAACAACAGATACCTACGTGTTTCTTTTCAGATTAGTCTTAAATAGGAATAATGTCATTTAGTTTTTAAAACATGATATTTTATTAATTTAGAATCGATTTTCTCAATAAGTCATTCATCACTAATTTACTAGGCATAATTAAATTTTGTCATTGTCAGTAATAAAATAAAAACAATTTCTTTGTCTGTGCACGTTTAAAATGGCGATAAATTATCTATCTGCCCATGGCGTCATGCGTCATCGATCATAGTTTACTCATAGTAACAAAATGTTTCAAAACTACCTATTCTTTAGTTTCTATCTCTAGGTACATACTACGTAGTAATAGTTAATAATAAAAATAAACTTCAATACAGTAAGATGAAGCGATGACATTATCGCAAGATTGACAGCTCGATAATCCGTGTCTATGCGCAATATCATACGTTTTAGATAAAAAGATGAATGTCCCAGATGAATATACTTGTAATAATTTCTCTTTGTTGGCTGAGAGCAATGACTTGAGCACTCGAAGGGTAAATTCTAGAATACATTGTTTAGCTATACACTTGAAATAGGTGTAGATAAAGCATTTTTTATCTATGCATTGAGTTTGTGTATGGCGCGAAAATTTCCGTTAAATTGACAGCGATCGATAGTAGAGATTTTTTTTCTAATCTTATACCTGCTTCTTAGCATCATAATTCTCGGTCTTTTTGCTATGTCTGCATTTTAGATTTATTTAATAGCCTTTTTTATTAAGATTTTACTTTAGTTAGATTACAAATTGATAATTTGAATTAGTTTCAAGTAAAGGGTTTACAGCAATTTATTAGAATGTATTCAATTACATATTACTAGACTTATCCATTTAAATATTAGACTTTCGACTATTTTCAGAAGATTTATTTTGAATCTGTTCGAAAAAGCAACTTAACCTTAAATTATGTTTTTTTTTTCTTAAAAGAAAAATAAAAAATATTTTCTCCAAAAGACTTTTTTATCTTGAAATATAAAAGATAAAGGTCTAGTTAAAAAATAAAGGTTTAGTTAAAAATCATTTTTATCTGTTGTTTAAGATATTTTATCTAAACCCATTGTTCAATAACAGAACGTATGGTCATGCTACCTATTTAGTATTTAAAAAAAAAAACAAGAGTAATACCTCATTCTAAAGCCTTGAACCTAATGCCACCAATTTTATTTGAAACAGCAATAAAAATATAATAATAAACATTAATATCTAAATTACAACACAATTAGCAATAACACTAATTATTTTATTGTATTTTTACAAGGTTTTTTTATACGAATACCGATAAGACTGTTTTTGATTTATGCATTTTTATTGATCGTAAAAAAATGTAGGTATGTATCTGGAATTTTCGACAACAATTACCTATCTACGAAATATTGTAACAAAAGTTAGTAGTTATTGATTAATTTGAAGGTTTATTTATTATTAAAGCTGCTTGTATGACTACATCGTATTCTAAGTAAAACATACTATTTTTTATACATAATATGTATTTATATAAAAAAACATGACGTAATTATTCTATGCCCAAAATATTTTTCCTAAATAGAAAAATAATAGAATGGTTTTGAATTTTTGAACTAATTTCTATTTTAGCAATTTTTTTAAACCAGCGATCAACAATTAAACATGTTATGTTTTAATTTCAAATCTTCATTACTAAAGTTGAATTTCGAATCAAAAGTAGGTATAATTCTATTAGATGGAAGTTAAAACAAACAATTTTGACTTTTGTTCACTCATAGTTAAGGTTCACATTGGAAAACGAGAGATACAATGAGTAGTTTTTACATTGCAGTTAGTCATCTAATACATAAAGAGTTAATTTTATTTCTTCTTCTCTTACACATAGGGTTGCTTTTCGCAAACCGAGTACTAGAGTGACATACGGCCTTTACGGTAGTTTAAACTATGTACCATAACCACAAACAATTATAAACTTTAAACTTATACAAATAGGGTTGACTTTAGCAAAACACGAAACAGTGTCATACAACATTACCTATGTATGTAGGTAGGTCGATGCTAATCAATACATAGTACATAATGTAAATCAATACTTTGATATTGTGGCGTAATATTTCATGGTTATTGCAACTATTTCATGCTTCTATTTAAGAAAATCGTGTGAATTAAATAAACAACCTCTTTAGTCTAATTTATTATACCTAATGCAGTCATATTGACAATAAAAACGAATTTTCTTACTTGAATCATGACTTTTTTAAAGAAAATCTTCATCATCAAAAACAGCTTATAAGTGCCCACTGCTGAGCAAAGCCTCTTCTCACACGGAGAAGGTTTGAGCATTAACCACCACGCTTGCTAAATGCGGGTTGGCGATTTCAAACTTATATTAGAAATTATTATCACAGGTTTCCTCACGATGTTTTCCTCACCGTTTGTCAGTGGAGTCAAAATAATCTTAGAAAGTACATATAACTCGGAAAAGTCACATTAGTCCTTGCTGTTGGTAGGTTTCGAACCTGCACCCTCGTGCATGAGAAGCTGGCGTCTTCGACCTCCGAGCCACGACGAAACCCAAGAAAAGAAATCTTTTCACACAAGAAAATCTTACTAAGTATATATAAATGGAAAAGTTTGTGTTCGTATGTGCTTGTTAAACCACATCAAAAGTTTGAAGGGATCGGGATGAAATGAAACAGGAGTATATTATCTTCTGAAATAACTCTAGACTACTGTTTATCTCACAGGACAATAGGCAAAGCTGCTGGCTGAAACTAGGTTAAGTTAAAATCGAAGCAATTATTTTAATTAATCCACATTTTAATGTCAAAATCAAAATAGAATACTCAATGAAGCTAGTATTATCTATGATTCAACCTTAGGGTACACTCGAAACTGGCAGATAGTTGGCAACACTGTTGGAACTCTATTGCCATTCAAGAAAAAAACTTTTGGGTTGTTTATTAAAAAACAAATGACATTCATTATTTGTTTTTTAACTGTGGTAACATTTTTCATTGCATGTAATTTATATGTACAATTTAATCGCTTGATATTAATCCTCAAAACTTGTTCATACTTTTGTATTCTCTAAACATCGGAAATAAGGTCTATATTGCAGTTAGTGAATGGAGATTGGTCACCGGTGACCACTTCAGGATTAATCGGTTAAATTAGACATAATCTTGTAAGCAATGTTATTAATAAACCCTAAGTATTTAGAAGGGTACATAAAAATGTGGCCATCTAAATATTTGGAGTTTGGATATTATTATAATAATTAATTGTCCTGAGACATATTAAATTAACTAAAGATCACGGGTTACTTTCGTGAATATCGCGCATGCTGTTTATTAAATAGCCCCTGTTGTTCGAAACTAGTAGAGCTTTTCTCAGTATATCCTCATGACTTTATGAGTAACCTGCAATTTTTAGGTACTTTGTAGCGGTAAATATTTCGTGACCATAGGAATGCAGGCAAACCACAAAACTACAATTACATAATATAAATAAAATTATATTGTACCTAAGTAAATAAACTAGTACCTACTACGAGAACCTAACGTAAGTAAAATAATGTTTTGTTCATTTATTTATTTAATTTGCTAGTAGATAAGTCACATACAGTTTATCAATTAAAGAATTCATTTGTTTACATTTATGTTTACTCATATGGAATGTAACCTTTTTGGGAAAGTAACTCAAACTATAATATTCTTTATGGATAGAGGCAATGGTAGATAGACTTTTATTCACACAAATGGTAGACTTTATGACAGATAGTTTTTTTTTAAAGTAACTATACCAGATATATACAACCACACTTCACTTGTAATATTTTTGATGTTTCCAAAATGGGAAAACCATTATTTTTAATAACAAATCCATTTAGACTGCCTTATTGGTAGATGCCTTAGTTTGTGAGGATGTTTGTTTCTCTTTCCTATAAAAACTATTGCATGGATTTGCATGTGATTTGTCATATAGGTATATAGTCAGAAAAATAACATAGGCTATATACTTTTTATTCCGGTAACATGAACAAAGCTGCTAGGTGCTATTGAACCATAATTCCTTATCACAGCTTAGCAATTAGGTTAAAAGATGTCTAGCATTAGTTTAAAAAGAGTAATTGTATTAAATTTCTATCATGTGTCTTTAATTAACAGTCTATTTGACCTCTTACAAGTTTAGTAATCTAATACTGAAATTATGCACAGAATTTGTGTAGGTAAACAATAAATCATTTGGAAACATTTGTGTTGTTCCAATTTTAATATTAACTATGTACTTAATTGTTTTTTTAAATGACAAAACATAAGTTTTACAAATACGTACCTACATCATAAAACAACTTGTAAATAAATAAACAGACTTAATATTGACACAGGAAGAGTTTGAAAGTCAGCCATAAAAATCATATACCTAGTAAGAAAAAATGTATGAGGCAAGGGGCAAAGATACTCATCGTACAGCCTCAACTCAATGTTTTGAAAAATATTGACCTCAGGATAAAATGTTTATTTATATTGATGACCTCTAAGTTTTATCATTATATGACTGTTTTATTTTGTACAGTTACACTGTAGGTGGCGTTAATAATCCCGTCAAGAGCCAAACAAAGTATCGAAGTACAAAAAATATGTGAGTTTGAACAAAAGAAATTTCGATTCACTAGTGTAGTTTATTTTTAAAAGTTGTTTGTGGAAAGTTTCGACAAAGATTATGTTGTACGTAAATAAAATGATATAATTATTGACTAAACAGAAAATTTTGTCCGTAAAATTTTAATGACAAAGAAAAAGTTCAATAATGACTTATAGTGGGTAGTGTTCTGAATAAATTCAAAATTAGAATTACATCACATGTAAACACCATAAACAAAGAAAAAAAAGTGAAGTATACTCACATTGTGTGGCAGAAGCAGGAAGGCATACAGCCAGAAGTCCAGCGAGAGCAAGGAGGATGGCCTTCATCTTTTATTTTTTATTTAATTAAATCACAGATACTTTGACAAAATAATAAAATAATGACAAGCAGTTCCGTAACGAACGAGTACTCGCGAAAGTCTAGCCTTTACACACACTGGCGCAGAAGGCGACTTATCAGAACGCAACAAAATTGGAATACAAGTACTATTCACGTTGATGCCTCTGATTAATATATGAAAATAATGAACTACGCAGCGATAACAGAACCATCTCGTGTTGACAAGTGCTTGGAGAATGACACGATAGAGCGAGACGCAAGATATCATTGGTCGTTGCACAACAAAAAAATCCCTGTCGAGGTTTCGTGTTCCGAACTCGCTCATGGAATATTTTCCGACCTAATTTTGAATTTTAGCCATAATGGACCTTCTTTTTAGGTCTTAATGCCTAGGATTTAATATAATACCATAATTCATAGCATCTCATCATGCCTAAATAGTCTAAATAATAGGAAAAGTTGGAAAAGGAAGAAGTCTCTAGAAACTCAAAACCTCAACATTCTTAGTATGACAGCCATGACAGGATTTTACTACGTCATTAATGGGCATTAGCGCGGGGGGATAGCGTAGAGGGGGGCGCGGTAATAATGATACCAGCACTCAACGTTTGCCGTTAGTGGTGTACATTTTTTTATAACAATATTTTGGAATTAGAAACATTTAACGGTTTAACTAGATCTTCCAAAATAATAAAAATATTCATAATTCGGATAAGATGAAATTGATAATTTTTGAAACGATTTTCGTTAGCGTCATCTACAAAATACGGGTAAATTGTATCATTAACATGGCTACCCAGCAGTAAAGTGCTGCCAACTTCACGTGACAGATGAGATTTTACATTTTATTATCATTTTGTCGTTTGCTATCAGTCGAACTGCGTTTTTATATAAATTTTAATTACGTGTGCTCTCCGTCGAACGGAGCTTTATCAATTTAATAGTCATTGTTGGAAGCCGCCTTCTGCGCCAGTGTGTGTAAAGGCACTTTCGACTAAACAATCCTATTTGTTGCAAGAATTATTTTCTATTCGTCTCACAATATTATTTGGTGAGTCTATTTTCGTGATTTCTTGTTTGTGTTTTAATTTTTCGATTCTATTTTGTTTCTATTTAACATAATTAATTGTTTTTCTATTTTTTATTCTAATTTTGAAATTCGATCGAATGTTACGACTGTGACTATGGTTTTGATTTTTTTTCTTTTGTCTTACGTACTGATTGACGTTTCAGTTTGTTTTTATTTATTTACGTTTTAGTTATTAATAGAAATAGGTATTTTAATTGGTTTTAACTACAAAGTAATAATAGGCATAAATACTTAAGTGTCTACCTACATTAGATTAAATATTAATATGTGCAGACTCTTTGTGACTTCTTGTTTATCAAAATATCGCGATCGAGTTCCGAGTTCCGACGGCACGGGCTCAATGACAAGTTACGTTCAACAATAACCAATAAAAAATTATACTATATCTATATAATATACTATTCCGGTTTTTTTTTCTTAATCTGTGGGTATTGACTGTTTACAAATAAATAAATCTGTGTTAAGTAATTTTTTATCAATGTTTTTGTACTTAGTTATCAAATCAATTAAAAAATAATCTTGTATTTTATTAAGACATTAGGAAATCCACTTTATCAAGTTATTGATTCTGATTTATTAGTGTAAAATTAATGATATGAATCTATTTGAGTAATTATTATCTATGATAGAGTAGACAACTTACATAGATACAAGTTTAAAAAAGTAACAGGCTGTAACATTTTGTTTTGGAGCCATTTTTTTGCCAGTGCCCCGGTGCCCAGTATTAAAAAGTTAGGAAGTAAAATGGAGGGAAACGTTTGAATTGGCAAATATGTAATGAACTTTTTATTTATTAAAATGGAATTGGTGAATTTAAGATTAGTGTTCTAACTAATATTTGTGCATTTATAGTAGGTGAATATGATAAATTATTATTATAATTTAATCACTACCATAAATATTTACATTTTTACTGAAATGAATAAGCACTAATGTCATCAATATGAATTAGGTATACCTAGTTATTTGTGTGCCATAAACATGTATTTTACTAGAATAGAACTATAAATGGGATTAAAGTTGCATAATTTTTTTTTATTAATTAGAAATGCTGCTTTTGAAATGCACACTTAAAAAAATTGTAACGAAGTCTACATGTGTATTATTTTGACTAATAATCCTAAGATGAAATAGGAAAGCATTTATTTTTACATGAATAATACACTTTATCATGATTAACTATTTTTTGTATAGATTGGCTGTCATAGATAAGCACTAACTCTAGATATAGGTATTTGTAGCTAATACTGATACAAGATTGCAAACTCCAGTTTTATTTATTTCAATGTAGACTGCTAATAATGTAAAATCATATTTTAGACTGTTTAACCTTTTGTTTGTTGATATATGAGACAATAGAAAACATATTGTGTTATGTGTAGATCTGCATTCTGACAGACAAGAGGTTAAAATCCAAGCTTATACAAGAATATACAAGTACCTACTTATTCTCTTATTCTTCATTAACAATTAAAAATTCCTTCAAATTAAAATCTATATAACAAGTACTAGTAGCATTTAAAAACAGCAAATATATCATCAAAGAGTTTCTCCTATTTTGATTTCTGTATTACATAACATAATGGTTGTTCCATATATATGTAAACAAATCTTAATACGTAATCTATATATATAAAAGAAAGTCGTGTTAGTTACACCACTTATAAATCAAGAACGGCAGAATAGATTTGGCTGAAAATTGGTAGGGAGGTAGCTTAGAGCCAGGAGACCGACATAGGATACTTTTTAACCAACTTTTTTTTTTACTTTTTCCCGAAAATCACGAACGGGGACGGGAAAAAATGGGATTACGCGTACGAAGTCGCGGGCAGAAGCTAGTATTATAATATAACTCTAATTTCCTGCATACAGAACCATGAAGGTCATCATCCTAGCTGTCTCCTGCCTGCTGGCTGTCTCCGGCGCCCTCGCAGCCGACACCTGCTACCAGGATGTCTCCCTGGACTGCGGACAGGCCTCCAACAGCCTTGGTAAGTGCAGCACTATTTAATATTATTTAAATAATACTAATTACTTATAAATATTATTGTTTTATAGTAAAATGTACTGGCTAGTGTGAAGTTTCTAGACTTGTGTGTTTCTGAATTCTTTCCGAGTTTAATGAATTACTATTAATTGACTGCACGGTTGATGCGGTGGCTGGGCAACTGGCTGCCGCACGACGTGTCGAGGGTTAGATTCCCGCACGGAACAACTGTGTGTGTGATCCACAGATTTTATTCCGGGTCTGTGTGTGATGTGTATGTTAACTTGTATGTTTGTAAACGCACACACGACACAGGAGACAATCCTAGTGGGGGCGACATTAAAAAAAAACCAAAAAAAAAATTTTAAATTTTATAAATACACTATACTTCTCCTCTATCAAAATAAATGTTTTGAAATAGTATAACAACTATTGTTAGTTATATCCCATTTACTTCAAAATTACAAGTTTTGTTCAAGTAATTTTACCTTCTTAAGGAGCGTAATTGTTTTAAAAACTACCTATACATAGCATGACTATTCATTTTGTGGAAATGCCTTAATATTTATTACACATTTTACAAGAATGCTGTAGTTACTTTACTCATATATTTCCTATATATGTTTATCTATGTATATATGTATTTTCTTCTTATCTACATATATTCTCCTTCTTTCAGCCTTTAGACGAAATTGTAAGTAAAAATATGATCAAAAACATCATTGTATTTATGTATGTAATTTACATTAACTTTGGTTGCATAAAATATCAAAATCATTAAACAATTGGGTACTTTCCTTAATCAAAAATAAATTATTTCGACTGTTCAATACAATAAAATATTAAAAAATAATCACACTTTCATTAATCGATTTTTTGACCAACTTAATTTTAGTATTTTTCTAGCAAATTTTCATGAAATAAGTATGTTGTTTGACGCTAGAAAAACGTGACGTCATAATACACAATCTCGTACAAAATTCATAGGAAACTGTCGTTTTTGACAGTTCAAAAAAAAGTATTGAATTTGACTAGTTGGCAAGTACCCGATTGAGATACATTGAATACCTTTTGTCTCTTATAATATAACAATAATTGGGTCTCATTGGAAAATCATTGTTTACCTTCCCTTATCCTAAGTTATTTGGAGTTGCGCGCCATATTGTTCTTTCTACCATTATTCACCTACTATTACATGGGACTCATTACATAAATAGTGAAAAGTATATGTATAGAAGCTGATATAACTAGAGAGCGCCCTAGGTAAGCTCCTAATAGGCGCCCCTACCTTCTTCACTCTATGAGCAGTTATACACGTACGTCTCGCGGCGCCCCTCTGTAACCTGGCGCCCGGCACTTGTCTAGAGCGCCTTAGGGATAATACGGCTCTAGGAACAATAAATTTGTGGATCACACCAGATGATCATTAAAAATGTAATCATCAACCCTATCACTATTTCTTTCATTATTTTAATGTCTACCATGTTTAATGGGGTCTAAAAAGACACTAAGCCAGTACATTTTAACATAAAACACATTACAATCGCAACATTTTACATTAAAATTGTGAATTAACAAAGCAAATTAATTGTTCTTGCTTTAATTTTGCAGAACCAACATGTAAGTACTAGATTTTAATTGTGAAATTACTAGTTTTTGCTAATCTCGGTCCAGATTTGAAACCCTAGAAAGGAAAAAGTAATGATTAGTAATGTAATTGATTAGTTCCATTTATTGATACTAGATGTCGCTCTAATCGTGTTTACAACAATAACAACATACTACAAGAAGTTTAGTAACGATTATTGTGGCCACTAAATGGTAGATGTCGCTCTAAACGTTTTTGGCGACAAAATTACAGTCTTTTTTAACATTTTCTGGATTCAAGTCGCTTTTTTAACCGATTTTGAAATAGGAGGAGGTTCGATTTAATTAATTTTAGTCATATTTAGACCGAAGATTAGTAACATTTGCTAGAAATTTCTATATGTATAGTATTTTATACTCTTTATCTTATGAGTATGTTATGCCTTTATTTATTTTATGAATATGGCACTGATTTCACATACACTTTACTTTGTATTGCTACCTCTTTCACTCTCGTTTATATAAAAACTAGCTTTTACCTACGGCTTCGCTCGCGTCACAAAAAGATAAAAAGTAGCTTATGTGACATTATACCAATACACATAGCGCCATCTAAACCAATATTTTTGTTTTCCCTCGGGAATATCAAATTTTTCCGGGTTAGAAAGTAACCCTATTATTTAATCCAGACTTCAAAATTTACGTCTGCAAAAATTCAAAGCAATCGGTTTAGTAGTTACGGCGTGAAAGTGGAACAAACAAACAAACAAACAAACTCACTTTCCCATTTATAATATTAGTAAGGATACTAGCTTCCGCCAGCGGTTTCGCCCGCTTTCCTGTGGGATAAAAGGTAGTATGTTATTCCAGACCATGATCTACCTCTTTTCCAAATTTCATCCCGATCCCTTCAGTGGTTTTGGCGTGATTGAGTTACAAACATACACAAAAACTCACTCACTAACTTTCGCATTTATAATATTTAAATAATAAGAAAAGCAATCTACCTATCTCTCTTTAACTAACAAAGACAAACAAAGACGGCAATATTTTATCAGTACCGCCCATTGAACCGCCCTATAATTTAAGTATTGATAAATATTTGCTATACTGTTTAACACGAAGCCGCGGTGGACTTAACGGGTTGCCGGAGCTCCGGCTCTAAGGGCAGGAGTAGGAACGGGGTGGTTTTTAGTCAGTAAGAGTCTGACACTCTCTCTCGCCTCAGCCAGGCGGGAAAAGTCATGGGATGATTTTCATATTTAAAAAAATGCTGTTTAACACTCTGAGCGTAAAAGATAGAATTTTTAATCAGTGCCGTATTCTTGCATCTTGTTCTATTATTTTAAAGATTATATTATTAAAGATTTATAAATATGCCTGTATCCCGTAATTTCTTATTAGGATATCCTTATTTACTGAAAAATATTTTCGAAGGATTGTAAGCTAAAATCGAATAAAAACTAGAGATTCTAGTTTGAATACTTGTATTATGTAGTTGTCTCACTCTTACACCGCTTTTAATAGAAATGACGTCACTTTTAGTATCTTGTGTCTCTTTTCTATCATTCTCTTCTTCTTTATGATTACTCAAAGTGAGTATTTTGCAAATAAATAATAGTCCACCAAGGCCTTTATTGCTACCAATAGTTTGAGTTATTATGAAATGCATGATTAATGTATTTTTATAAAGAATGCACATGCAATATTTCTTTAGTATAAGGCATTTGTGTATAAAACAATATGTTCTGATATTATTACTATATGTTAAAAACTGAAATCCGATCAACAAAAGTATTTATCAAAAACAAATGATGTTTCGGAAACCTAATATCCTTAGGGCCAATTTTTCAATGCTCGGATAAATTTTAACTGTGGAATAATTTTGAATATTCGACAATTGTTCTATACTAAAAAAACTGTCAAATGTCAATTTTATTCTACAGTTAAGAATTACTTAACTGATGATTGAAAAATCGGCGCCTAAGCTATTTAGATTGTTTGAACCGGATACTCCGGATAGATAATACATATATAATATTTTATAACATATTGTAATATGGAATGATTTTGCACGTTCCTTATAGCATATACAGGGTCCAATGGACATACTATGCATTAAAATCATTATATTTTAAGAATTTTTAATATGATAATATTAATTTAATTCTGATATAGTGTCCATTCCTCCCTAAATTATCATATGCATTTATCTTCATTTCAAAACGAACCGAAACCATTAAAATGCAGAAGCGGATTAAATATCAAAGGCAAGATTATATGCATAAAAAATACTACAATCCAATTGTCATTATATTCAACACTTGTCTTGTGTATACAATAAATATTAAAAAACGCAATTTTTTGACTTAACTAATTGGCCTTTGATATGGATCTGCAACTGTAAAATTGTCGTAAAGGCGCTAGTCTTAGTTAAAAGGTCTATTGCTGTGTAGAACACCTCTTACTATGGCCCTAAGACTGAAATGCTAATTACTCAGTTTTAAGTCGCGCTTAACCTCTTGAGTATATGAGATACAATAGAAAATACATTGTGTCTCGCGTGGATCTACGTTCCGGCATACCAGGGGTTAACCCATATATCCCCAAGCGTTCACCGGTGACCTCTCTCCACTAATATTACATTACATTATAGACCTTATTTCCAATGTTTAGGAATACTTTTGTATGACCAAATTTAGGGGATGGATTTCAACGGGTGTATAGTTCTGTCTTTACAAAAACTATGTAAAGTGACAGAGATGGCACGATATTTAATCACAAATTGAGTAGCCTTTCTGTATTGGGGCGGAAATAAATTAACTGAAATTTCTGGATCGGGCTTAATTTTTGACAAAACTTTCAAATAATATCAATAATCTCAATTCGAATTTAGTCACTAATAGGGTAGATGACTAATTTTTATTGCAATGTCCGTTTGGTAGATTATTTAAAAACATTAGACACGATTTTTTATTTTCTTACGGAAACGAATAGTTTCGAAGATATATTGATTTGAAATGTCGCGTGACGTCACTTTTGAGTACGATTTGTACTCTAAAATGACGCAGCTACCTCCCACTCCTAAACTTTGATTCGTTTTATCTAAATATTGTTTTTTATACGACAAATTAAAAAATACGTGTCTAATATTTTTTCATTACCTAACTGACGGACTAATTAGATTTTTAATTCTCATACCCTGTCATTATACCTATTTCGGCCGTTACAAAGATCTTTTAACTCACTAGCGCCATCTACACACACAATCATCATCCATGCACTTTCCACATAATACCCATGTAAATAATTCTGGCAACAGCGCTTCCGAGATGTAACGCGGTCTATGGTGAATACGGGAGACATGGCAACGTCGCGACGGAGCTCCAGGCTTACGCCAATTTGCATCTAGAGAGATCTTATGAATACCTCCTGTCTGCTGCCTACTTCAACAATTATCAGACCAACAGGGCTGGGTTCAGCAAGCTGTTCAAGAAACTCTCTGATGAAGCTTGGGAGAAGACCATTGATATCATCAAGCATGTTACCATGAGGGGTAAGTTTAGAAAAATAGGTAGTAGGTTTAATTGAATTGTTCGCAAACAAACTGTATTTGTCTGTCGGTTTTGATATAAGCTCCCATGTAAGGGTGATTGTAACCAAAAATGATAAAATGATATGCATATGAAATGATAAATTATACAAAATGCTTTATAGTTAACAAATCAACAATAAAACTCTCTTTTTTTAAATCTAGAATCATAATAATAATATTTGCGACCCATTCACATAAGTATCCAAGGAGGACTCTCGACTATTTTCAAGCCATAATCATGAGCATATTTAACCGACTTCAAATAATACGATGTCCTCTCAATCAGGTGACGAAATGAACTTCGACCAGCGTAGCACCATGAAGGTAGAACGCAAGAACTACACCGTGGAGCTTCATGAGCTGGAGGCCTTGGCCAAGGCGCTGGACACCCAGAAGGAGATCGCTGAACGCGCCTTCTACATCCATCGTGAGGCTACCAGGAACAGCCAGCACTTGCATGACCCTGAGGTATGTATACCTTTTAAAAGCACAGTTCTCTTATTTCGCATTTATTTTTCATCATCATCATCCTAATTGTAACACCAACTTTTGTTACCAACTTCAAAAGTGAGGTTTCTCAAAATTTGACCGTATACAATGTTGTTATTTTTTATGTCTGTTTGGCGATAATTATTAATCCCCGAAAGATAAGCTGAGATGTGGCTACACAATGATTTTAAGACATACTTTACCAATTGTAAGACCCATTTAATAGGGGGTGAGCCTATTGTTATACACCGTATTACTGCGAATTAAAATAAGTATTACTGCGAATTACGATTTCTAAATAACACTGGGATCATCCAGGATTCGCACTCGGTATGACTTAATTTGTCACAATAATTCATCTAGAGGTTCATATCATTGATTCCGAGATCAGTATTCCCAGAATATCGAGCAATTTCAACAAAATGACATTTCATCACCAGGTCGCTCAGTACCTCGAGGAGGAGTTCATTGAAGACCAGTCCAAGAAGATCAGAGAGCTTGCAGGTCACACCACAGACCTTAAGAAGTTCATCACATCCAACCATGGACAAGACCTGTCTCTTGCCCTGTACCTCTTCGACGAATACCTGCAGAAGGTCGCCTAAACAGGCTAAAATATAAATAACCATAATTATAACCTTTGTTTCACTCTCAAAAACATGTATTCTATTGTAAACAGTCACAAATTAAAAATAAAATTGGTAAAGAGTTCCCTTACAGGAATAACGCTTTAACACCTTTGCGTACAAACTTGAATAAAAAAATCAATCTGTCAAAATGACAGGACACCATCTTGGATAAAAAGTAAAGGGTGAAACATACATACTCCACTAACGTAAAATAAATATTGTACTGTATCTTTTTTTATAATTTAAACTATCATTTGTACAAAAATTAGGCTGTTATAATGTGATTATCTTTCAATTAAGTTTACCCCATTTATATTGTAAGCGATATATATGTAAAGTTGTATCTGCAACGAATGTAGATTATACGCAATATTCAGTTATTTTCAAATAAAATATTAATTAAAAAACTCATTTTAATGTTGTTTTAATTTAGTGGTTATCCCTAACTTAAAAATGGGCACTGAAGGTTTTCCCAATATTTATACATGACGTTGGACACATGGACCTACAAAAAGTTCACTCTGTTTCTAACATTATGCTACATGTTATAGAAATTATTTATAACGTAGTTAAAAATAAGGGTTACTACTTTGCCGTACCCATACTTTTACGGGAACAACACACATTCACAAAACAATTGACGATGTTATAAAAAAAACGACTCTAAAAACCAAGAGCAAACAAACACCTGTATATTCACTTTTTTTTTATAACGCAATGAAAATCCTCATAGTATACCCACGTCGTGGGGGCGACGGGGGGTGTGCAGGACTCCTACCGGCTAAAACCACCGCTGCCTTCCTCCTTTGCAGTGCGCTCGAGCGAGCGTATTTCCACGACGTATCCTCCAAATTGTCATTACACTGATGACTCGCTGACGTCTGCTCCCGGCCTATACGACACAAGTACTTTCCAAAGCACCCGTAAAACACCTGCGTCAGCCGGAAGCTTAGAACACTGTCCTCTGCCGATCCAAGCGTCCATGACGGGGCTGACCGCAGGTTTCCCACTCTACTATTACACATCGTCTACTGTCTCGATAGAATCTGTCCACCGTGCCTCAAGAACTCGAGGTGGACATCGTTCGCCTCGGGCAGCCAGATCGTGCCACCTGTATAGTGATGCGAGAGCTTTTGCTTCCAAGTCCCAGGGTGAGGATCCAGCTAAGAGGCTGGCAGCCTCGAAAGAGACAGTGCGGTACCCCCTCATCACTCCGATTCACTCCGACTCACGATTCCTGCGGCAACTGGGACGTGGAGAGATTGTTTCCCTCACGTACTCCGCCTGCTTCTTAGGTATAGCAAAACTGTTTCGCAGGAGGAGATAACTTCCCAGTTCACGTCGTCTTGCATCATAGCCTGACTGGACTACATAGCACTGGGCACAAAACTACGTAGTACTAATTATTATAGTATAGTGCTTAAGGGTACAGCCGACTTGAAAACGTTCTGGTAGTTAGGTAATTAGATGCGACTCAGAAGGAGAAACTGGTACTGGTATTCTTATGCTCAAAGATGAGAATAGTATTACATACGTATCTGTGTCTTATAAAGCAACAGGCGATCCAAAATACTGCCTCGATTTATTGAACACACCTAGACTAATTTAGCCTTGGGGTGCGGTGCCAGAAGACCTCCCCGTGGTGCACCCTGGGTGCGGGCGACAGTCTCCCTAGCGGGGGTGATAGGGTTGGAGTGACTGTCGCCCGCAGCAGACTTCTGGACTGGGCGGGCGAACCCGATAGGGTTCTGGAGGCGGCGGGCTGTGTGCGGAGGCTCATAGCCCGCGCTTCCGAGGGGCGTTTCTCCGCCCGTCTCTCTGGACATAGCAGAGAGCGTGGCGTAGAGGCAAGGGCGGTGCTCGTTGTGCACTCACCCTGCCAGCGAGCAGCATCGGGACACAAGCTGTCCCCGATTGCAGCCGTCGATATCGTAACCCGTAAGGAGGTCACGGTCATGTTTTGTGACTCTGAACGGGACGAGGGTCTTGGCTTGGTCGCCCGGACCGCGAGGAAGATAACCTCTATAAAAAATTCCTCCAATACTAAGTTCTGGTGCGCGGCGAGAGTATGCATGGCTGAGGAGTAGTGTCAGTCGCGAGCGCACCCCCAGCTAGGGGACCAGTGGAACCTCTAGTTGGGAAACAAATGAACACTTACCCAGGTACAGGGGGCACTGCCTGGGTGGACCGAATATTTCCCCCATACTCGTGGGAACTGTATGGAGAAAGTAAAATCTAAAAAAACAAAACCACAACTGTCGGAGGAGGAGAGTGCGGGTGAGCTTGGCTCACCTGCAGACGTAGTAGAGGGGAGCCCAAGGGGCTCTGGCGCCCGTGGGGAGACGCTGGACACATCTAGCATGCCCCACACACGGGCATCAATTACGATGGTGTCGGACCCTGAGTCCGACACATCACTGGCGGATCGGCTGAGCGTGAGCTCGAAGGGCTCACGCCGTCGCGTGACGGGGACGTTTAAGCGTCCCAGGCTGGAGGAGGACGCTTCGTCCCCGTCCTCCGGCGCGCAGGCGCCTCCCCCTAAAGTCCCAACGGCGGCGCGGGGTAGGGGCGGCAAGGGCGGCGGTCGCCGGAAACCGGCACCAGTTGCCTGCGTGGAGTCAGCCGAGCAGCTGGCTGCGGAGGGCAGGGCTCTCTCGAGCGCTGCCCGTTCAGAGTCCTCCGCAGCCGAGATGTCCGGCGTGGAGGTTTCGGAGGGCGAGTCGGGCTCCGAGAGCGCGAGCGGCTCCGGGCACCTCCGACAGGCCATCACGGAGGTGCTCCATAAACTGGCTATGGGGAAATCCCAGCCGGTTAGGCTCTCCCTCCTCAGGGCGGCGGTGGCCACTATTACGGAGGCAGCCTTGGAGCAGTGCGCGGTGCCCACTGCAGAAAAGGTGCGCTCCGAGCTGGGCGAGATGCGGCGGGAGCTGGCGCGCTTGGCGGCCTCCAATGCGGCCCTGGAGGCCGAGCTGCGGACGGCCAGGGCCGAGCTCGCCGCTGCTCGCGGCAGTCACCCCCAGCCCCCGGCGGAGTCCGACGTAGTCGGACTGCTGCGAGCGGGGATGGCTGCCTTCCAGCGACGTTTTGACGTGCTGGAGGGCAGGCTTTTGCGCCCCCCGCTCGCATCGAGCCGGGCCCCCCGCCCGCGGCATCGGGCTCATACGCGGCTGCTGTGGCCAAGCCTCCGACCTCCACTGGTCAGGCTGGCCGCGGCCCCCAACCGCCGGCAAAGGCGCGGGCGCCTCCTCCCGCGAGGCCCTCGGCGCCCCCGCCGGCGCAGACCCCAGCTGCGCCGATGGCGCCTGCGCCCATGAGGCGCAAAAGAGGAGGGACACTCCAGCCCGGCAAGCTGGAGTTGCAGCAGCGGCGGCGGAACCCGCCCCGCGAGTGGAGGACGGCGGCGGTTGGCAAATCGCCGGCGAGGCGAGGAGAGTCGCCAGGGAGGGCCGAAAGCGCCGCAAAAAGGCGCAGCGGCAGCGACGGCAGCAGCAGCGCAGGGAGAAACGCGCTGCTGCCTTGCTCCTCGCCCCTAAGACCGCGGCTGTAGTTATTACACTGCAGCCCGAGGCGGTCAATAGGGGCGTTACCTATGGTGACGTCCTCGCCAAGCTCAAGGGGGCGGTAACACCTGCGGAGTTCGGGGCCCCGGACGGGTTTGCGGTCAAGGTGACCGCTACCGGAGCCCGTCTACTGGAGGTCCCCGGCGCGGCCAGTGGCCCGTCGGCCGACGCCCTGGCTGAGAGGCTTAGGGCGTGCCTCGGGGCAGACGAGGCCCGCGTGTCCAGGCCCACCAAATGTGTGGATGTCCGGATATTGGGCCTGGACGACTCCGTCACGGAAAGTGAGGTGGTGGCCGCTGTGGCCAGGACGGGAGGGTGCCCTGCTGACCAGATCAAGGCGGGCACCATCCGTCCGGACAACTCGGGGCTGCGCACGGTGGTGGTGAGCTGCCCCGTCACAGCGGCCAAGAAGCTGAAGGAGGGCAAAAGGCTCTTGGTGGGATGGGTCTCGGCGCAGGTAAAGCTGCTCGAGACCCGGCCTCTGAGGTGCTACCGTTGTCACGTGGGGGAGCACGTGAGCGCCAAATGCACCTCAGAGGTGGACCGCAGCGACTGTTGCTTCCGCTGCGGTCGGCCCGGTCACAGGCCGGCTCCTGCACTGCCCCGCTGCACTGCAACGCATGTGCGGCGGCTGGCAAGCCGGCCAATCACCGGGTCGGGAGCAAGGGCTGCTCCCCTCCTGCCAAACCCAAGGGCAAAGGTAGGCCCTCCGCCACCCCTGCCGTTTCCGCCGCCGCCGCCGCCACTGCCGCCGCAGTCGCCGCTGCCGCTACTGAGGAGATCGGAATGGACTGTCAATAATGGCTCCATTCCGCCTCCTCCAGGCGAATATTAACCACTGCGCCGCTGCTCAGGATCTCCTGCTCCAGAGCATGGCGCAGTGGTCGATCAATGTCGCCGTGGTCTCCGAGCCGTACTTTGTCCCGCCCAGGGATCACTGGGTGGCGGACCTGGACGGCTCGGTGACCATCATCTCATCGGCCGCCGCCGGTACCCCGACTCTTGAGGCAGCTCAAAGAGGCCGGGGTTGTGTCGCAGCACGGTTCGGAGAGCTCGCTGTGGTGGGCGTGTACTTCTCTCCGAACCGAACTCTCGCCGAGTTCCACAACTCCTTGATGGAGTTGGTCACAGTCGTCGTCGGGTTCCGTTCCCTCCCCGTGCTCGTCCTCGGGGACTTCAATGCCAAGAATTTGGCTTGGGGTTCCCGGTTCACCGACGTCCGGGGTAGGATGGTGGAAGACTGGGCCCTTGAGGCAGGCCTAGTCGTCTTGAACCGGGGTTCTGTCCCTACGTGCGTGCGGATGCAGGGCGAGTCGGTGGTGGACATTTCGTTCGCCAGCCCTGCTCTGTCACCACGTATCGTTGACTGGCGTGTCATGGAGGAGGTGGAGACGTACTCCGACCACCGGTATATCC